GGAGGCCAGCACTGAGGGGTTCCTGGACACATGTCGCTCTCACAGAGCACGACTCGCTGCTCCTCAAAGGCGGCCAGTGGGGACAGGCGGGAGGTTGCGGCCTGGAGCGCGCTGGGTACAAGACCAGTGCGTGGGTGTCCACCGTGGACAGTTTGGGCATGCTCTTCCCTCTTCTGGGCCTTGCTGCTTTTTGAGGCACCTGACTGTACACTTCTGTGCGAACCCCATCCAGGCGGCCCAGCGGCACAAAGGCCCCCAGCCCTGCACACTGGGAATGCAGCTGGCTCCCAGCCTCTCCGCTCTTCCCTGGGCTGTTCCTTTCTCAGACACCAGAGCAGTCTGGAGCTACCGGACTCAGAAGGGGCCACGGCCAGCCTCAGGCTCCAGGAAGCAAGGCAGACGGTCTGATCAGAAAGAAGCATCCATGGGGGGAAAATAGCACTTGACTGAAGGAAGTTTCGTCTCTCATTCCCCTTCCCTTTCTACCCCTCCACTTCTTGGGTTTCGTGCTTGTGAGACACTTCAGCCGCCACCTGCAGGGCAGGGCCCACATCTGCTTAGCAAAGGTCTCCACTGATCCCATCCAACTTCCCCCTCACTCATGTCAGAGGGCGAAAGCGAGGGTCCAGGCTGTGGTTGTGGTCTCTGTGCCCTGCCGATGCACGTAGCAACTTTTGTAGACAGCTCTGGTTACCACAACAGACGGGCGGGCTGAGACACCTGCTTTGGAGGGGAGGCCAGGGCCAGCCAAGGCAGCCTTCATCCCTGCAGCAACGCCGGCCGGGCCATGTGAGGCACAGCAGCAGGTGCAGTGGCTGGCGCATCGCGGCGGGTCACCAGGCTGGGCCTCCTGGAAACCCCATCTGCAGAGAAGCCCCCACCCTGAGGAAATGGGCAGGTCCACCTCAGGGCCCCACAGCCCAGAGCTTCGGTTTTTCTGTGGACTTGTGTCTCCCTCCTTGCTGTCTCCGCCCCCTGTTGCCACGCCCCTTCCTCTTCCTGGAATATCTCCAGCCTTCCCTCTGCTCACCCTGCATGGCCTGTGCGGATGCATTTACAAAGCCAAAGTTCTTTTTTAATAAACCTCTCTGAAGAGCTGGGCACACCGCAGCCAACAGCACACATGTATTGCCGTAAACAATGCCTGGGTTTTCTTCTACACTCGAAAATGATGCTTAACAGAAATGAGTAGTGTGGTGCATTCAGAAAATTCTTAATTCATCATTTTAAAGCGGAGCTTAAAATACTTTTCTTTAAAGTGTTACCAAATATAATTTCATGTTCCAAGAAAAAAAGATGACTCTTTGAATTTTTTTTTTTTTTTGCAGCATGCAAATAAACTCTTAAACATCCAAATTCTCTTCCATTTAGGTTCGAATGATTGTTACAATCAGAGGCCGTAATTTTTAGCGAGGATTTTGAGTCTTCTGGAAACAACTGGCAAAGCGTTTCTCAGAAGGCATGCCCTGGGGTCACGAGTGCTGGGTTTCACCTTTGGGTTAAACCACAGCCCCGAAATATCCAGGCCCTAATCCTGGGAACCGGGACCTTGCACACTGAGGGCTTCAAATGGGGTAATCATGCCGCAATTTCTGGCCAGCGCCTAAATGCAAGCCTACGAGGACTGGAAGATGCTGGCTTTGAAGACAGCGGAAGGCAGCTGAGGACGCTGGGTCCCCGCCTCGCTGGCTGCCGCAACGCTAAGCCCACAAGTTTTCGCAGGGATTTGCTCCAGCAGTCACCGGCAAAGGGATTCATCTTGGCCACGGAGTGCAGAAATTCGGTAAAGCCTGACACGCTGGTCAACACGAATAAGTCAGATTTACAAAGACTCGTCATTACCAAAGCGAGAGTTTTCAACTCAGCCTGCCTGCACAAGGGGCTGATTTAACGGCAGGGCGGCTGCAGGCAGCCCCCGGGCCGTCCCTGAGAGAGTACGAGCGGCCGCGGCCGCGCACCCCCTTCCTGCGGGCACGCGGCTCGGCGTCCTTACCCCGCGGACCACTGCAGCACGTCGGCCGGCTGGGTGCGGATGGCAGCCTTGGTGAACTGCTTCAGGATGTCCGGCAGTTCCGGGGGTATGCGGATCTGCTGCGCGCAGAACATGGTGTCCGGCAGCGGCATGGCTCTCCGCACACCGGCGCCCGGCTGGGGAGAAACGAGGGGTGCCCGTCAGCGGGGTCGCGGCCGGCGACTCCTCCTGCTCCCCGAGAAATGAGGACCAACCACCCCTCCAGCGACGCCGCTTGAAGCAGCCGCGGACCGTGACTGTTGCGTCGCCGTCTCCAGGCAACCGGGGCCGCGCACGCGCAAAGGGGCCGCCGCCCGCGCCTGCGCACTCGTGTCCAGGCACCCTTCTGGCGCGAGGTGTGCGAGCTCGTGGTGTTGCTTTAAGAGCGGCGGATTCGTGAGGGCCACCTGTCCTCCTGGCTCCGGCTACTAGGGCCTGCTCGGGAGGGAGCCGGGGCGCCCGAGCTCAGCTGCCCCACAGCCTCATCACGGGCATCGTCCTCCCCGGGACCGGCTCAGGGCCTCCGGGTCGGACGGACTAAAGCGCTGGCGGGTGCTGTCCGCCGCCTTGCTGGCTTCTAGGAGCCGTCCCAGCCTTTCCCGGGCGGTCCACACACCCACCGGACGCGCGCACTTGCAACAAGGCAGAAGTAGCTGTCTGGGGAGGGCAGGGGTTCTGGTGGGCGACGCCCCCGCGCGCAGGCTGACACCCTGACGACAGACCGGTCATCTGGACCGCACACACCAGTCCCGAGTGGACAGACACCGATGACGTAGCAGCCATCTAGACCGCACACACCAGTCCCGAGTGGACAGAAGCGTTTCCGTAAACAAGTCCACACAGTGGAAACTCCGTGCGGCCAGGATGTAAGCCAGGTGGCTACTTACGGCATATGCCAAGGGCCCCTCCGAGGAAAAGCGCGGGACCTAAGGAGCGATTCTGTGACCGCCCCTGGCAGCGCAGAGCCTGGAGCGAGCCCAACAGCGGTCAAGGGGAGAATGGGGCCGGGGGAGCGTCGAGTGGGACTGTGCACTCATCGCCGAGGCCCCTAGCAAGACCGAGTACCACATCCCTATAGAGACCTTGGATTCTGGGAATTACAACAGCAATTTAGCTTTCAGAGAGTAAACCCTCTGGAGCCTATTCTCAAGGGGAAAAACGCTAAAACAAGATAAGCGATTTATTGAAGCAGCAAAACCAAACAAGTTCAGCAGGGAGCTCAGGCAGGAACGCCCCAGTCGCTGCAATTTTAGGTAAAGAAATGAGATCAAGGGAAGCCTGCATGTGGACCATGGGGCAGGGAGCTGCGGAGAAATGGCAAGAAGGCAGGCAGCAGAGAAAGGATGGCAGCCCTGGGGGAACACGAAGCCAGATTCTGGATTCACACTGCAAAGCTTTGCTGTTAGACTGGATATGGAGTAGGAAGGAGACCCAAGTGTCTCTGCACTTTTGGGTCAGCAGCTGTAACCCCTGGGTCCAACAGTACACAGACTGGCAGCAGAGCAATCTCATTGTTTGGGCTGTCGGGGAGATGCCCACCTAGGTCTGCAGTTTGGGGAAGGAGATAGAATGGGGATACACACAGCGGTCTCAAAAAAGCTCATGGAAAAAACTATGCACCAAAATAAACATCTTTTAATCCCCTAAGTTAACTTTTTACAGTCCACCCCAGGGAATGGGGCAGGGGCATAGGGCCTGCTTCCCACTTGGGCCCTTACAAAACCAAGCTGCTCGAGCCCTGGGGACCAGTCTCCACGTGAGAAATGCCAGACAGCACAGGCTGGAAGAGGAATGGCTGGGGGAGAGGGCATATGTATCCTGTACAAAACAGTAACCAAGGAAGTAGCCGGGTTATTGAGGACTCAGCCAGGCAAGTCCTTTCCCAGCTTCCCAGGGCATTTTAAAAACACATTTTACGTGAAAGACGGCAGCAGCGGCACCGAGGGACGGTGGTGTCTTTATCTTCCATTCACTGGTTCACTCCCCCCAAATGATGGCAATGGCCGGTGCTGGACAAGCCTGAAGCTGGAGCATCACTCCATCTCCCACGCTGGCGGCAGGGACCCAAGCACTGTTGCTTTCCCAGGCACACCAGCAGGGAGCAGGATCAGAAGTGAAGCAGCGGGCCGCCTACCAGCGCCCCAAGGCATTTTACTCTTACGTCTAAATTGGAATCTTCTGCTCCTGCTTTCTGTTCCGTTCCACTTCTAAATTCTCTGAAGGCAGATATCATAGCTCATCCAACTACAACTCTAAGTGCAGTGCCAGAAACAAGAGACACCAAAAGCAAAACAAGAAAAACAGGGAGGGAGAGAATGTTAGAGCCTCAGCCCCTTGATAAATCACTTCACCTAATCACTGCACGTTTGCTACAAAGTTCCAAGCAAACTTCACGGTGGAAGGGGAAAATTAGTGACCACTTTCCCAGCTTCACAGATTAAAGATGTCTATGGTTCAAAAAGCCTCTATCCCATCACCCTTGCATTTAGAGTAAATAAAAATGCACTTGATAGGGGAGAAGGAAAAAAAGAAAAATTCTGAAACTAGAAACAGAAATTAGAAACAGTCTCTAAATAAAAGGTCTGAACTCTAGGCACTCAGGAGGGAAAGGACTACGCAGGTTCCCTTTCTGCTGAATCACGGTCAACTATGCAGCCGAGTTTGTGTTTGATTTATTCTAAGTCTCGTCTGAAGAGCCATCTCTGATCTCACAGTGGAGGTGCAGAAGCGTGTGGTACCTTGCCCATAGCATACAACAAGAGGCTTCACTCTTTCCAGTGAGGGTGGTCTCCAATCAAGGGGGCAAGAGGAAGTGGCCGTGTCCTCTGTAACTATACTTTATACTTAGAAAGAAGGTGCTACAATCACATGTAGCAAGGTCTTTTTCTTAGACATAATTACATTTAAAATTATCTACCAATGTTAATAATGCACATTTCCGTAATTTTAAAGCGATCTTGCAACAAAGCAAACACAAACAAAACTAGGCTACATACAACTAACGTTCACTTTATTCAACTTTGTTCTCTCAACTCAGAAGACAACAGAAGACCACATAAAAAGGGAGCATCTTAGAATACACACACACAAAACTGGGCTGGGTATCCAGGGTGTTTGCTTTAATAGAACACTGACATCCCCACCAACTAAGTGTTTTATTGAGCTTCTACAACAGTCACTCCTAGGCCTGGGTCATTACATTTCCATCTAGGGAATCATGTTACTTTCATAACTACAAAGTGAGGCACTCATATAAAACAGACAGGAATGAAAACGTATATACACTGTCTTCTCTTTGTGTTATACTGATGCCAAAGACACTGATGGAAATTATTTCAAAGAAGCCCTTACTCATGATGATGGTTGTTTCAAAAAGACCCAGGGCAGTGCTCAGCTGAAAAGCACTCATCTCACTGATGGGGCAGACGAAGTGGGTAGATGTGACAGCTTCATCAAGAAGTTAGAGAACCTCTACAAATGAGGCTTTCAAGAATACTTCAAGGGTAAGACATTTTAGATTTGCCTTTTCTTGATGATGACTGAAAAATTAACACTCTGAAAGAGGATTTTAAACATAATCATTTAATTTAACAATGTAAGACTTAATACAGTTAAATAGCTTTAAAAAGTCAATCCTGAATGAAAGAAGTAGCTACCTTGCGAAGTTTTAAAACAGTGCCAGTGTTCTTACATAATGGTCCTACAGTCTCTTGTGTGTGTGTGTTGGCAAATGCAATTAAGTGTACAACTGTGTGGTATTTTTTGGTTTCATTTTAAAAAGGCATCAAAATTCAACCTAAATTCAAGAATTACACTTTAATAGTAGCATTTTGCCAATACAGAAATGACATCCCTAGGATCGAATCATTTGAGGGAAGTTATTCTCTTTCACTTAAATACGGAAAGGAAAAACATCACAAAAATCCACAGTATCAAGTTATATTAAATGCTGAAATAAAAATTCCTTTTTGTTTACATCTGGAATCGAGATATTCCATCTCCACTGTTTTTCCAGAGAATGGGGTGGGAACAATCACCTAAAAACCTGGAGCTTTTTTAAGGCTAACTATACACAAACTTCACATTGGCATTTTTCTTCAGCTTTCATCTCAACTATTAATAGTTAATAGTTTAAAAATCAAACATAATTTGCTAATAATGAACAACTGCACACTTCAGACTATGACCATTTGTAACTGGTCATGTGAAACTAATCCAAGTGTCGATTTGTCTCCAATTTACAGATAGTAATAAAGCACAAAGTTCTTCTTTCCTAGTAAAGTTCCTTGAAGACTTTTAGCCCAATGCAAAATAAAGCAAAACTATACTATGATTTTTTTAAAAAATTCTACATGAAAGGCAGCAATACTAGCACTTTCTGAACTATGGATTTTCAGTATTTATAAAACTATTGCTTAACAGTAAAACCTGGATGCTACCCAAGCAAATATTATGCCAGAAAATTCTTTCTTTATTAAAGTATTTATCTTCTTGAAAACAACAAGACAAAAGCACAACTAAAACACTAGGGGGAACTCTTATGTAAGACAATGAAAAGTTAATTGCCAGTGAAATGAAGGGCAATTTTTTTGGCCATTCATACTGCTGTTTTATAAAATGTAAGACTCATTTATAATTTTGTAGAATTAATCTTTTTTAAACTTTTTATAGTATCTGCCTAGATCTCTTTCTGTTAAAAGACATGTTCCAGTGACTTTATATCAACATCTACAAATTTCTTGAAACATGAAAAGAAACCTAAATTAATATAATAAAGTTATAGCTCAATTTAATACTTTTCTCCCAAAATAACAATTAATATAGACATACACCATGACAGGTGGCATTACATTTTGAAATGCTAATTTTTTTTTGTAGTGGGACTAAATTTCAGTGGGAAAGCACGGCTAGCAACACCTCATTCAATACAACAGAATGGCTGCTACAAAGTGCCAACGAGTGCAACACTGAATTCCATACCAAGTGTTTTTTATACTGATATTTTTAAGATATATTTTAAAGTAACTGCTTCCCCTTAGGGAATAACTCTTGAAATACAAAACAACCAGAATATCTTGCTCTCAATTTTGGTTACCTTATGTTTGGCTGACTTTTCATGTTTTTAGAATTCTCCAATTTTAGTTTATGGATTTTAATACTATTTGGAAATTCTCTTACAGTTTTTGATGACCCTATGCTGTCTATTTTCTATGAGAACTTGTAAACTGTCATCCAAAAACAAACACTATCTTTACAATATCCTATTACCATTAAACACTTGGATCATGTGTCCAACCATTCTGTTTCTCTAAACATCTATCTGGAAGCTTTGGTTGTAAGTGAAAACTGAGTATGTAAGTGTTCAGTTTCTGAGGTTTTAGAGCACATTTCCAGTGAAATATATTCCTATGTTAAAAGGCCACCTCAGCTAGCTTCATTCTGGACAAACAAAAACAAGTCTGTTTTATTTGTAATTTTATTCTGTAAACAAACAGCTTTGGAAACGCCAGGATTTACTGATGGAAAAGTAGGAGAAATGTACTCCCTTATCCTCATCAACTGCTGCTTTTAGAGTCTTCTCCAAGCTGCCAATCTAAGACACAGCTGTACTTAAAAGCATCTCAGAATGTCCTAAATTCAGAAGGATGCATTATGGTTGGTGATTCTGTAAGATTTATGGCTCCTGCTGCCAAAAATAAAGAGACAGCTATGTGTGGAAAAGAGGGGAGAGGAATTAATGAAAATCTTCATTTGGACTTTTTTTTTCTCTTTTTTTTCTAAGTATAGACATGCCCCTAACAAGCACAAAAACCCAACTCCCAATGCTGATCACTAGGAATATTAAATTATCAAAATTAATTTTCTTACTAGCACAAGATACTATACAATATTACAAACACAGACACATGAAAAAAATCAGGCAGTAGAAAATGTACAACAGCTTTGGTGTTATACAAAATAACTTCCAAAAACGATTGACAGTGAAGCACAGAGTTCATTTTTTCTTACCACAGACACTCCACTGGTGACTTCCACTTGTTTCCTTTTATGTTCCTGGTAAGGTCTGAATAGCCAAGACAGACAGAATGTGCAGTTTCTTTAGTAAGAACTGCTGGGAACATCGCAACTGCACTCCACAAGACGTCACTGAAAAGTCTTGCCTGTGCACCACTGCTCTGTGGCACGTTTCCTGTCGAGATCACAGCAGGTCCAAAATAAAGTGACAACTAAATTTAATAAATTAATATACATTTTGTTTAAAGATGTACAATGCACATTCTGTTTAATCCAAGGTGTGAGGGTCTCAAGGAGCTTCTATTTACACATATACAGATCTCAGACAGCAGTGACGTCAGCAGACGCACGCGAGAGCAGCAGAACCCAGGCGGCTGCCCTCTGAATGCTGAGTACACGAGTCAATTACATGAAACTTAAAAACAGCGCTGAGAGATCACCGGGAAAACCTCCAGAGAGAGAAGTCCACAAAAAAGGACACGTAAAGGCAAGGGGGAGGTCAAGGACTTGAGACAATCACTTTATTCCTGGGACGATGGTGGAGGTGGTGATGTGCCTGGTTTGCCAGATTTTCGTTCGTAGTTCACGAGGCGTTGCCCCACAAGGTATCTAGGTGCAAAAACAGGGTGGTTAGTCTCCGGTGTGACATTGCAGAGCAAAATATCATTCCAGCAACATGCCTTCTGAAAGTAAACTGCATCACCTTACTCCTACAGGTCAAAGTGGAGTCGAGAATGAAAACCTGCAAAAGGCACAGAGGCAGGACGCCGACCGTGAGCTGCGGGTTTGGTCAGCAAAGCCTGGAAGGGCTCCCATGCCGTGCAGTGGAGCAGTGCTTCAGTTGATGGGTTAGGATCTCAGAAACTCAACACACTAGGGGCTGGGGTGGGTTGAGGGAACAGTAAAGAATACAGGAGATTTACCCATTAAGGTTAATTAAGTTTTTTGTTTTTTGTTTTTTTTTTAATTTGAGGCTGAGAGAGAGAGAGAGAGAGAGAGAGAGAAACACTCTACTTCAAATCACTGATTCATTCCCTAAATGGTAACAATGGCTGAAGCCAGAAGCCAGGCTCAGAACTCAATCCAAGTCTCCCACTCTGGGAGGCAGGACTCTCATCACTTGAGCCATCACCACTGTCTCCCCCGGGGTCTGCTAAGATTAGCAAGAAGCTGGAATCAGGAGGCACAGTGAGGCATCAAATCCGGGTACCCCTCAGGCATCTTAACAGGCTTCTTATCCACTAGGCCAAATGCCCGCCATACGGGTTCCAATTTTATAAACAGCTAAGCAAACCGATCTGAGGAAATGGACTACAAAACGATCATCAGAAATCTGGATAAGGAGCAAAGCAAGATCCTGAGAAGCTCTAGCTCTAGAGAAAAGGAGACATCAAAGGACAGATTTCAGTGAGGTCAGAGGGCAGATGACAAGGCAGTTGAGTGGGCTCACATAACAGGTGGTAGGGGGCTAGATCCAAGAACAGAACAGTGATTGCTCTTGACTGTGATGTGGTTAAAGGAGACATCTTCTCTCAGCGCACACAAGCTTAATGAGGTATTTTGGCAATTTATGCCTGGCAGCTTAACAGGGCACCTTTTAAAAGTGCATTCATCCTTGTGTCTGTGTGGGTGCAACTGTTGAAATCTTTACTTAGTTGTACTTTTTGGGGGGCTGGCACAGTGAGTTAACGCCCTGGCCTGAAGCACTGGCATCCCATATGGGCACCAGTTCAAGACTTGGCTGCTCCACTTCCCATCCAGCTCTCTGCTATGGCCTGGGAAAGCAGTGGAAGATGGCCCAAGTGCTTGCGCCCCTGCACCCAAGTGGGAGACCCGGAGGAGGCTCCTGGCTCCTGGCTCCAGATCGGCGCAGCTCCAGCCGTTGCGGCCAATTGGGGAGTGAACCATCAGATGGAAGACCTCTCTTTCTTTCTCTCTCTCTGCCTCTTCTCTCTCTGTGTAACTCTTTCAAATAAATAAATAAATCTTTAAAAAAAAAGTTTTCTAAAAAAAAAAAAAGTACATGAAAGAAAAAAAAGAGCATTCATCATGCTGCTTCTTTGAGACCACTCCAATGTTTAATCCCTTTCTTTGGTCATATCCGTTCTTTTCTTGAAGCTAACAATTCCTCGTCCCACTGTTCCCTGTAAATAATGAAGATTTTGTAAATGTTTTCAACAATGACAACTGAGCAACATCCAACACAATACACACAGTGCTACTGACACACACGTGATCACAAAACACATCAAGTTACACAAGAGGGGTCAGCACTGTGGCAATGAGGCAAGTGAGTCAAAAGTAACTCTGAACCCATACTGACTCTCACCCTATACTCTTTCATGCCCCTGCCCACTCCCACCCCGCCACGGCAATTCCTATACCACACTGGAAAATAGACCCACAGCCACAGACAAGCTGCCTTCAGTGGAGTCTACAGTTAAGCAGTTTTGTACATAAAGAAACAGGGAAAGAGAAAAGGGTATACGGGCTGAAGGAAAATAGCAGAGAAGAATGGGAAATTATGAGAGGAGATGGGAATGGGTGCTGTGGAAGTAACTCAGAAAGGCAGGAGTGAAGGAGAGCAGATGACGCTATGAAAAGTAAGCAGGTGGAAGGCCTCAGGGCTGTCTGGTTTGTCATCCTGTCTCAAGTACTGAATTCTTCACCAGGACAACTGAAGTAATAAAAACTGACTCAGCACTGAAAATATCTCCCCTTCTTTCAGAGCTAATAGTCCTCTGTACTGCCTAAGTACATTTTTTTCTTAAATTGTCACTAGGTGCCGGCGCCGTGGCTCAATAGGCTAATCCTCCACCTTGCGGCACCAGCACACCGGGTTCTAGTCCCGGTTGGGGCGCCGGATTCTGTCCCGGTTGCCCCTCTTCCAGGCCAGCTCTCTGCTATGGCCAGGGAGTGCAGTGGAGGATGGCCCAGGTGCTTGGGCCCTGCACCCCATGGGAGACCAGGAAAAGCACCTGGATCCTGGCTCCTGCCATCGGATCAGCGCGGTGCGCCGGCTGCAGCGGCGGCCATTGGAGGGTGAACCAACGGCAAAGGAAGACCTTTCTCTCTCTGTCTCTCTCTCTCACTGTCCACTCTGCCGGTCAAAAATAAAAAAAATAAAAAAAAAATTAAAAAAAAAAATTGTCACTAGGTGCTTTGGAGAAGCCTGAACACTTTAAATCTCATTCTTAAAAATGCAACTCTTTAGAGTCCTCAGAGTAATTAAGGGATGTCGAAGCTGAGGGCTCCAAGAGTCGAACAGGGTGCTGATAACAATGACATGAGGGCAGCAGGAATGAACTGGGGCTCCCTCCAGCAAGTCGGGACACAGACTATCCGCTAGACAGACACCATCCAAACAGAGGACTCAGGGCCCGCGCTGCGGCAGAGTAGTCCCGGCTGCTCCTCTTCCGATCCAGATCCCTGCTACGGCCTGGGAAAGCAGTGGAGGATGGCCCAAGTCCTTGGGCCCCTGCACCCATGTGGGAGATCAGCAGAAGCTCCTGGCATTGATCAGCCCCAGCTCCAGCTGTTGGGGAGTAAATCAGAGGATGGAAGACCTTCCTGTCTCTCCCTCTCTGTCTGTAACTCTTTCAAATAAATAAATAAAAATCTTTAAAAAAAAATCTTTTTCTCTCACTAAATCTTTCAAATAAATAAACATATCTTTCAAAAAAACAAAACAAACAAAAAAAACAAAATAGAGGACTCAGCTTTCATAAGGACATGATAGGGAAAATAGCTCTGTTCTCCCAGAAAGCTGTTCTCCTCAACTCTCCATGAGGTCTGACATCAGGTTGCAGCTTTCAGTGGTTTCCTCAACACACAGAGGCTCTCTGTGCAATCACCAGAATAATCTGGGAGCCCTAGTTTACAAGAAGAGCATGTGTTTGGGGCCAGCACTGTGGCATAGTGGGTAAAAGCCACTGCCTGCATATGGGTGCAGTTTCGAGTCCCAGCTGCTCCTCTTTCAATCCAGCTCTCTGCTAATGTGCCTGGGGAAAGCAATAGAAGATGGCCCAAGTCCTTGGGCCCCTGTACTTGTGTGGGAGACCTGGAAGAAACTTCTGGCTCCTGGCTTCAGGCCAGCACAGCTCTGGCTGTTGCAACCATTTGGGGGTAAATCAGCAGATGGAAGACCTCTTTCTCCCTTTCTGCCTCTACTTAACTCTGCCTTTCAAATAAATAAATAAAACTTAAAAAAAAAAAAAAAAGAAAGAAAGAAAGAAAGAAAGAAAGAAAGAAAGAAAGAAAGAAAGAAAGAAAGAACATGTGCAAGCAATGCTAGTTTGTAATGTAAGCATCTAATTATAATTTAACACTATTTAATAAAGGTCAGAACAAAACATAAGAAAATAAATTGGCCGGCGCCGTGGCTCAATAGGCTAATCCTCCACCTTGCGGCGCCGGCACACCGGGTTCTAGTCCCGGTTGGGGCGCCGGATTCTGTCCCGGTTGCCCCTCTTCCAGGCCAGCTCTCTGCTATGGCCAGGGAGTGCAGTGGAGGATGGCCCAGGTGCTTGGGCCCTGCACCCCATGGGAGACCAGGAAAAGCACCTGGATCCTGGCTCCTGCCATCGGATCAGCGTGGTGCGCCGGCTGCAGCGGCGGCCATTGGAGGGTGAACCAACGGCAAAGGAAGACCTTTCTCTCTCTGTCTCTCTCTCTCACTGTCCACTCTGCCTGTCAAAAATAAAAAAAAAAAAAAAGAAAAAAAAAAGAAAATAAATTGAAAACTATTTAGAACGGGCATTAAAAATATCTTCCTCCCCAAACCAGTTTCTCCCAGTCTTTTCCAGCTTCATAAATGACAACTCCATGTTCTCTGTTGCTCAGGCCAACTGAATCCTTGATTTTACTCTTTTTCTCATCTTGCACCCAATCTATTAGCAAGTTCTCCCCAACCTCTCTTAAAACATAACCAGGATATGAACAGTCTCTCCTCCTATAATTTATCCCATTACAAGGATGAAGAAATGACAAGACCTTAACAAGAGCGGCAAGATGAATGGAATGCAAGACTTACTTGTCATTTTTAATATGTTCATAAAGGCGCTTGAACTGGCGGACCTGGAAGGACAAGATTCCCATCAAGACCACAACCATCAGTAAAAATGGGTAAATCCGCCGGTGGACTAAATTTTGCATTTCTGCAGTCACACCTGTAAAATCAACAAAGGAAAGGAAACTGTTACATGTGTATATGGAATAACAGTGAAATGACATACACCCTTTCCCTAGAAAGAGGGGAATGGGGCACAGCTTCCTCTCCTATAACATGGGGGAGCTGGATGAGATGACTGGTGCGGTTCCTTTCTGATCAAACAACATGGATTCTAACAGTCCACAAGCAGTGCTATCAGTTTTGCATCCCAGCCACACACAGCTGAAAACACAAACAAAACTGCTTTCACAGTGAAAGATCTATTCCTTTTCATCCAAGACCAACTCAGAAAAAGGAGCCTTGAACTCACATTGAGTCTCTTACCCTACACTGTCTTGTTCCTTTTAGAACACTTAATTATTTGTTTCTCAACATTTAACTCATAAACTTTAACTCTTGCTCGGGGGCAGGGAGGGTTTGGGGTTGGGAGGAGCGATTAAAATCAGAGGAAGAGAGACCGCTGCTGTGGTGTAGCGGGCTAAACTGCTGTCTGCAGTGCCGGCATCCCATATGGGCGCTGGTTCAAGATCCAGCTGATCCACTTCCGACCGAGCTCTCTGCTATGGCCTGGGAGCAGTAGAAGATGGCCCAAGTCCTTGGGCCCCTGCACCCACGTGGGAGACCCAGAAGAAGTTCCTGGCTCCTGGCTTTGGATCAGCACAGCTCCAGCCGTTGCGGTCATCTGGGGAGTGAACCAGCGGATGGAAGACCACTCTCTCTCTCTGTAACTCTGTCTTTCAAATAATAATAAAAAATAAATCTTTAAAAAAAAAAAAACTCTTTTCCCATCCTATAATCTTTCCAATAGAGCTCACGATGGAATTTCTAATAATGCAAATATGAGAAGGTTTTGGTTTGGAATTCCAAACAGCAAATCTTAAAGTCTATATACTATTAATGGGCACACAATATACATTAATAAGAATAATATAATAATAAGATATCAGGATTCTCCTACTATAACCAAAATAATAGGAAAACAAACTATTTTTTATTAAAAATATCACTTGGAAAGATTTTATTTATTTGAAAGGCAGAATTACAGAGGGAGGGAGAGGGAAGAGGGGAAGGGGAGCGGGAGAAGGAGAGGGCGAGGGATAAAGAGAGAGACAGATCTTCCATCTGCTGGTTTACTTCCCAAATGGATGCAGTAGATGGGGCTGGGACAGGCCAAACCCAGGAGCCTGGAACTCCACCCAGGTCTCCTTCATGTGTGCAGGGGCCCAAGCACTTGGGCCATCCTCCGCTGCTTTCCCAGGCCCACTAGGGGGAGCTGGACTGGAAGAGGAGCAGCCTGGACTCAAATCATTATTCATATGGGATGCCGGTGACGCAGACAACAGCTTAATACACTGCGTTGCCACACCAGCCCCAAAAATATCATTCTGAAGAGTCAAAATTATTAACTTTAATGCAGTGTTCTGTCAACTAAGTCCTGGGCTTTGAATTCTACTTTGGCATATTATAATTTAATGTGGTATGTGTGATACTTGGCATAGTCACAATTGAAACTATATAGAAGCCTCTAAGTTTCTAACTCAGAAGGAACCAGAAAAGGTAGTTAATGCTCACTGTTGCCCCTCAGCTTAACTCTCCCCAGTTACCCAGGCTAGGATACAGTCACAACACTTGTAGTCAGGAGAAAACAACCTGATGAAAACTGATCCTGGGAGGAGTACAAATTTCAATACCCAGGGGCCATGGCTGTGGCATACTGTGTTGAGCTTCTGTCTGCAGCGCCGGAATCCCATAAGGGCACTGGTTCAAGTCCTGGCTGCCCCTCTTTCTATCCAGCTCTCTGCTGTGGCCTGGGAAAGCAGTGGAAGATGGCCCAAGTGCTTGGGCCCCTGCACCCATGTGGGAGATCTGGCAGAAGCTCCTGGCTCCTGGCTTTGTATTGGCTCAGCTCTGGCCATTGGTGGCCATCCGGGGAATGAACCAGTGGATGGAAGACCTTTGTCTCTCCCTCTCTCTGTAACTTTACCTTTCAAATAAATAAAGTCTTAAAAAAAAAAAAAAACTTCAATACCCAATCATCTACCTAAAGCAGGAAACTACCACAGAGCTTTAGAGATGCTCCTCGTCTACTCTGAGTAGTCTGCTCTATGAAAAGCAGTCTTCTGAAGTCACTGTTTAGCTGGACTTGAGAGTGAGCCAGCCTCCCCTACCACAGTGGCAAGAATGACTCCATGTTAACAGAAGTGCTCTTTCAAAGCTCCCAGCCAGCATCACTCACCTAATAAAGGAACGACGCCTGAAGCTATGACATACGGCACACACAGGGAAAGCAAGAGCACAGAGATCACCGGAGCTGCCAGTTTACGAACGATATAGTGGAGGTCAATGTTCCGAATGCCATTTGCATAAACCTGGAACATTAGAAAACACACATTAGCACAAAGATCAGGACAAACTCTTCCAGGGTAACAGAGCAATCTCCACTGGATCCCATTCACAGGGAACTGAATCCACCAACCCGAAAGGTTTCCAACTGGTTACTTTTTCCTAAGTCAAGGCAAATTCTGGAATACAAATATGCAGGGCACCCATAATTTTTCAGGGAAATGCATTTACCCATTAACACTTTGTAGTTAGGTCTTCCCAGTGATAAAATAAGACACTAATCTAGAATAATAACTACTGTCCTTGCACCCCACGGTACCAGATGGCAAGCAACAGGACTTCATACATATCTTACGGAAGAGTGATTTGTATTATTACTCAAGATTGCATTCATTTTACCTGAAAGTGACAGGAAACAATTTAAAAGCTTGTTTCTGAAAAGCTTGTATAAAGGAAAATTTAAAAAATCTAAAGGAATTTTATGTAAAAACTTAGCAGCAAAGAATTCTACACTGAATCTAAAGAGAAAGCCCAAGCATTTCCACAATATTCCATCCTCTTGTCCAGCCAGTGGTCCCCTGTAGGTTCTGTGAGGACGAAGTAGAGACACCTTGGGGATGGGGGACACCGATGCAGCACACAGGAAGAGGACAGGAGGGCAGCGGTCCGCTTTCTTCCCCTCTGGTCCGCACAGGGCTCAAGCCTCTCACTGCCCAGGATGTGCAAATCAACTTCATCCCCCCAGGACTTCAATGACAGACAAGCCACACCCTACACAGGCACGCTTCCATTCTCGAAGAAATCTAACTAACCCAAATGCATTTTAAAGAATGAAGCAAGGCTTCTCAGTGTATCTCAAACAATCTCAACCATTTTATATAAATTTATACACACATGCACTGGGGCAATGATGCATTAGAAAATACTACAATGATAAACAATGTTTCATAGCCTCCCCACATTCCTGTACAAGGGCCTAGAGACTGCAGTGGACTGGAGCACTCAGACCCTGAAGCAGATGCAGCCGTGACCCCCACCTGCACATCAATCCACCACACTTCCAGGGCCCTTCTGAATCAGCCCATGCAGCGACTGAATCAGCGACACATGCAGCACCTGGGAATGCCGGGGTTCTCCCAACCACGGGGGTTAACAGGCACTTATTGGGCTGATTTACTTGTGTACAATGGACTGAGAACTTTTTTTTTTTTTTTTACAGGCAGAGTAGACAGTGAGAGAGAGAGAGACAGAGAGAAAGGTCTTCCTTTGCCATTGATTCACCCTCCAATGGCTGCCGCGGCTGGCGCACCGCGCTGATCCGATGGCAGGAGCCAGGTACTTATCCTGGTCTCCCATGGGGTGCAGGGCCCAAGGACTTGGGCCATCCTCCACTGCACTCCCTGGCCACAGCAGAGAGCTGGCCTGGAAGAGGGGCAACCGGGACAGAATCCGGCGCCCCGACCGGGACTAGAACTCAGTGTGCCGGTGCCGCTAGGTGGAGCATTAGCCTATTGAGCCGCGGTGCCTGCCCCTGAGAACTACTTTCTTTTTTCCCCATACATCAAAAAGAATGAGACCTTAACTGCTGCAGAACTGTGACATATTAATTAATCTCCTGGTATAAACCTAAGTAAGGAGAAGAAGGCTGCCCAGAAGCACATTTTCTGCATAACTGAAATTCAAAGAAATCAGTCCTAAAATGTTGTGTTGGCTATTTTAGATAATAATCTCGTAAAATGAATTACTATACTTCTTAGTCTTGTTATCAGAAACTACAAAAGCAAAATCTACCTTTTTCAAGGTCATCATAACAACCAAATTATCTGATGGTTCCATAATACAACTGTCTTAGTTGCTATATACTTAGAATAGTCCTAAACAGCTCTGCTTTTTAAATCTATTTATTGCCTCAAGCAATAATCTTCCTTCCGTTGACCTTCTATAGTTTAGACACAGGAACAGAAAGGGTTCTTTATCAGAACTCCTACTCTGAAAACACAAACAAATGTGATCACTTTTGCCTCTACTCTGGACAAGGTTTTAGGTCCTCTAAGCTGGTGCCTAAAGATGACTTGAGAGTGACTGCTGAAGTTCATGGTGGTGGGAGAGACCAGAAGATGCTACCCTAACACATGGCTCTGTGGCAGCCCCTGTGTAATTCTTTTAAATAAATCAATCTTAAAACACACACACACACACACACACACACACACACACACACACACACACTCGTGAGCGTACCTACGCAGACATGTTCATTTAAAAAAAATGCAGAAAATTCAGAAAAGCAAAAAAAATGAAAACTAAACTTCCATTAGCTAACCATAACCAGGATAGACTTCCAAATGTCCCTGTCTGAACACTGATGTCACTTACCTGTTCAATGACAGTTTTCAACCACCACTGAGGGCCCATCAGCGTTATAGCTGCAATGATTTTGGCATGCAGAACTCCGAGTGCCCAATCCTAGAGTAGTAAAAACCATTTAGCACACTGCTGTTGTTCATCTTGACAGTAAACTCAGCAGAGAGGTCATACAAGTTTCTTATATTATTTCACTTCTGCAGGACTGGTAAGGATTTTACAGATTAACATACTGAAAAACACACATATTTTTTCTTTAACTCAACAGCCCAAGTTGAGTGTTTCTATCAAAAATCATCTTTATATCTTTTGGAAATCTACATAATATATTTTCCCTAGAGATCAAGAAAAGTCAGAATATTATTTGAGATCACAATAAGCAGATACATACCTTGGTTTTATTTAATCAAATCATCTTTAGACTGTTTTATGTATAATTAAGACTGTGAAGCCAAGTTTGGCCTAAAAATACTATTCTAAAGGCTCACAGAAAGCTTCAAACTTGAAGCATTTGCAATTCTTCTGCGGAACTGTCATTAGACCCTCTTTTACTTTCCACTCCCAATATTACCACACACCAGGCCCTTCATGGTGTTCCTGCCTCTGGCCTGCCCAACCCCATTCCACCTGGCAACCATGTAATCACCATTCCTTTCCCATATATCATACCCACCATGGTAGCTCTCAAAACCCAAATCAGCTCATGGAAGTCAACTTCTCCACTTACAATCTTAACATCCTTAGCATGGCACACAGAGCCCTCCAGAGGCTGTTCTGGGGGGCCGGCATTATGGTGCAACAGGTTAAGCTGCCATCTGCAATGCCAGCATCCCATACCAGGTGCTGGTTTGAGTCTCAGCTGCTCTGTTTCTGATCCAGCTTCCTGCTAATGCACCTGAGAAGGCAGTGGATGGTGGCCCGAATACTTGGGCCCCTACCACACAACGTGGAAGACCAGGTTAGGGTTCCTGGATCCAAGTTTGATCTGGCCCAGACCTGGCTATTGCTGCCAATGGGGAGTGAACTAGTGGAAGCACTTTCCCCTTTGTCATCCTGCCTTTCAAATAAATAAACAAAAACCAAAAAGGCAAGGGGGGAGGATCTGTTTTAAACAATATATGGAACATTTAGCTTTTGTTTTTGTAAACATTTATTTATTTGAAAGGCAAAGTAACAGAGAGAAAGAGAGATCTTCCATATACTTGTTTCCATACAGCATCACATTTTTTCCCTTCTGGAACCAACCCCATTATCAGTATATTAAGTCTCCTGGATGCAACCTCTAAGACACTTATCTTTCCCCTCAATTCCTCCTCCTATAGTTTTGCTCCCTGCTTTGCGCTGTCTTCCAGGACTCCAGTGCAAGCCTCAGTGGCAACATCCACATGTTCTACAGCTCCACAGCAACCACACTGCTGCTGTGCCACTGTCCATGGACACATGTGTGTTTAATCACTTTTTTACTTTGCTGTTCAAACTATTCTTAGTAAGTTTTTTTTTAAAAGAAGCACTTCAATTTTCTTCAATGTTTCTAAAATTTTAAATTAATGGTTTTTCTTGACTTTCAAAATTCTTTTTAAACTTTTTTTCCCCAAAGAAACCACTTATTTAATGATTACAAATTTTATAAGTACAACTTCAGAAATACAGTGATTCTTGCCATCATACCTGCCCTCCCAACCCACCTCCTCCTCTCTCTCCCATTCCCAGTCCCATTCTCCATTAAGGGGGGAAAAAAAAAAAAAACACCAACTACTGCTCAACAGAGTGTTTAGTCATTTCTGGGGAAGCTTACGGCGCCCTGGGAGCCTTCTCACAGATATAAATTCTGATGGTTCATATGACCTTTCTTTCTGTAGCTGCGGAGCGACCCTTGGATAAGGCACCTGCTATTTTCCTCTGCAGCCTGAAGGCTCAGTTGGGACTGGGTGTATCATTCTTTCACCCTTCAGACCTCTGAGATATTAGCCCCCAGCTCCCTACTGAGGAACATGGAGAAAGCCACTGCTTTTCCTGCTGTCTTCTAGACTCACAGGCAAGGAAGGCTCACCTCACCAATTCAGCGTGGTCTTGGTCTTCTAGGAGTTCCGAAGGCTCCCAAGTGAACTTAGGGTCCACCCAAAGAGGTCCCTATATCACTGAGGATCAGCCTCTTTCAAGACCCACTGCTCTACAGCTCTCCTCCACAGGATAAGACACACCACGCCCCCTGCTGGAGTTCCACAGAGACCTACAGCCACGTGCACAAGAAATGCAAGCAACGAGCAGCCAGGGATGGAGAAAAGGCAAGCCACTTGTCCTTCAAACACCTGGAGGTGTTACACTCAACAGTGAGGATAGCACACTGCACATAACCACCTGCTGGTTGTGCTTCTCCTCTACTCAGAAACACGTCTGGGAGCTGCCAGACCAGCTAAGTAGCTATACTTCATTCTTTTCACTTGCTACACTCAATTCCAAAGCATAGACATACCACATTTAGCCACTCTCTGTCACTCTGCTTCTCATTTTTCTGTATTACAAAAAAATTATGTAATAGTGGGTGTTTGGTGTAGGAGTTTACCACTTGGAACACCCTCATCTCACAGTGGAGTGCCTGGGTTCAAGTCCCGGGTTCGCTTTCAATTACACCTTCCTGGTAATGCACAACACCCTGGCAGAGGCAGTAAGGAAAGAGGGCTTTATTCTGTATCAAATGCAGTTGGAAGACAGAACAATCATTGATGGGTTATCTTACCAAATTCTATCTAGAAAAAGGGCGAAGTGAGGCTAAAACTGTACCTGGTAATGAACCAACAGCCAGCCGATCATATTTGCCAAGAAAAGGGATATTTGGTTATTTTGTGGTTCGAATAATTCCTACGTTCCATATTCAAACAGTAACAATAGAGTCTTATTTTGGTTTTGCTCCATCATGACCACAGAACAGCCTTGTATGGCACTGACGTTCTGTGAAACTGTTTACATCCAACAGAACTCCATGGCTTGGCTGTCAGAACTAGGCTAGCTCCTCCATGGCAGGGTTTTGCTCTTTTCTAGCACTGTACCCTGAAACTCAGCAGAGGCACAGGGTATCTGCCTCATTTGCTGTGGTATTACGGTAGAACTATGATCAAGGTAGGGGAGTGTCTGCCTGATTCCTCTATTACAAGTTGTGTGTTTCACTTTCAAGTTATCAACCCATTAAGTGACACTAACCACTTTTACATTGTGGGTGTCAAAACACAGCCCATAAATTAACCTTCCATTAAGTGGTAGGGGTCTCAATCCCATGGCTTGAACGTGGGTGAACCTTTGCTTATATCCAGTAGAATGCAGTGAGAATGACACTGTAGGGCTTTGGAGACAAGGTCTTAAAAGATGAAACAGGGGCCGGCGCCGCGGCTCAATAGGCTAACCCTCTGCCTGTGGCGCCGGCACACCGGGTTCTAGTCCAGGTCGGGGCGCCGGATTCTGTCCCAGTTGCCCCTCTTCCAGGCCAGCCTTCTGCTATGGCCCGGGAGTGCAGTGGAGGATGGCCCAAGTCCTTGGGCCCTGCACCCCATGGGAGACCAGGAGAAGCACCTGGCTCCTGCCATCGGATCAGCGCGGTGCGCCAGACGCAGCACGCCGGATGTGGCGGCCACTGGAAGGTGAACCAACGGCAAAAGGAAGACCTTTCTCTCTGTCCCTCTCTCTCTGTCCACTCTGCCTGTCAATAAATAAATAAATAAAAAAGATAACACAGGGCATATATATGGCACTGCAGTTAAGATGCTGCCACGGACATGAGCATCCCATATGGGAGTTCCAGAGTTCAAGTCCCAGCTCTGCTCTGGATTCAAGCTTCATGCTAATGTATACCTCGGGGGGCAGGTGACAGCTCAAGCATTTGGTTCCCTGCTAACGCCTAGCATCCATCTACTTCTGAGAAGCGAGCTCCAGTGGGTGTCCAATAGTGTTCCCAAGAAACAGCCTTGTACACAGTTTTTCACATTCAGTTTCTCTTCTTGAGTGCAGGGGTCAATACCCTATCTACCTGCCTAACTATAACCCCTTTTGTCTCCTATCTTACTACTACCACCTATGTGGGAAGCCTGGATTGAGCTGCCCTTCAGATAAAACAAATACTTATATTTTAAAGGGTGATGAAGCTTCTACTTTGCTTGTGGAGACACTCAGTTCCCTCCCCTGTAAAAGCTCAGCTACCTTGAGGCTACTTAACTGTAATACAACAATAGCAAATGAAGATCCATCAACCTAATGGGCTAACATCACTGACAATCCTTGCTGAAATGAATGATTTTGTTAAATCTTGCAAAACTGGGGTCGGTGTTGCGGTGTACTGAGTAGAGCTGCCACCTGTGATGCTGGCATCCTGTATCAGTGCTGGTTTGTGTCCCAGCTACTTCACTTTTGAATAGCCCCCTGACAATGGCCTGGGAAAAGCAGTGGAAGATGACCTAAGTGTTTGGGCCCTGCCACACACGTAGGGGACCTGGATGAAACTGGCTTCAGTGTGGCCTGGCCCTGGCCACCATGGCCATTTGGGGAGTGAACCAGTGGATGGAGGATCTCTTTCTCTCTCTGACTTCTAAATAAATAAATCTTTTAAAAATTTTTTCACAAAATCATGATTTTCTAATTCTGTTCATCTCTCTACCTTCTGACATTATTTTGTTTAAAACAAACTAAAAAAAGAAAAAAAAAAAGCTTTCCTTCAAATTACAGCAACTGGTTACCCTGCAACACAGCTCTTACGTAAAGATGTTAACACCTGCCTTTCTCACTGATTCCAGTCTGAGCCAGGTGCATTAGCGGAAGTTCCCCATATAAGCTCGCTGTCTCACTTCCGAGTCTTTGGCTTCTTCCAGAAATACAGTTATTCCTTTCTTATCCATTTCCCTAGACTCCACTAATTAGGTAGGTTTAGGTATTAGCTCCTTCAGAAAACCGTATCTCAAAGTCCCATGACTAGGCTGAACACGTCTCCTACATGCCACATAGCTGCTGTGTATTCCTTATCATACCACACAACACCCGTGTATCTGTCTAGCTTTCTCACCATAATGTCAGCTCCTCAGGAAGTTCCTGCATTAGTCTCCTTGTTGCTTGTATTTTCACAAAATACATCATTTGGGTATACATTAAAGCACTTAAGAAAATACATTCTGGGGGCCGGCGCTGTGGCTCAGCGGGTTAATGCCCTGGCCTGATGCGCCAGCATCCTATGTGGGCACCGAGCCTAGTCCCGGCTGCTTCTCTTCTCATCCAGTTCTTTGCTATGGCCTGGGAAAGCAGTAGAGGATGGCCCAGGTCCTTGGGCCCCTGCACCCACGTGGGAGACCTGGAGGAGGCTCCTGGCTCCTGGTTTCAGATCGGCACAGCTGTGGCCGTTGCAGCCATCTGGGGAGTGAACCAGCGAATGGAAGACCTCTCTCTGTCTCTACCTCTCTCTGAAACTGTCTTTCAAATAAATAAAATAAATCTTTAAAAACAATACATTCTGTTAAATAAAGTTTGTGGGTATTGTCTATCTGAAACGTAGAAGGAAATGCAGCTCAAATAATGTTCATTTTCAGGCAACTTCACTCTAAGAAAAGGTAAATATTAATCCTGAAATGCCTTGGAATGACTGCAACTAGTGCTCTTTTCCCCAATATCTACTAAGAAGGTGAGATCGTAATTCTATATGGTTAAAAATCTCAGGCTCTGAGTACAACCAAAGTCACAGTTCTTTTTCCATGAGTTTTCAGACCTCTGCTGTAACCTACATGGGTTTCCACAGGATACTCTTAATGATCCAGAGATTTCACAGGAAAACATTCTCTAATAATTATGCCAAAGTAGTACTGTCTCAAAAGTCAAAAGAAGCAAGCACAAGAGTGAAAAGATCAATACATCTCATTTTATTATTACTTATTTTTTTAAAGATCCATTTTTTTATTTATTTGAAAGGCAGAGCTACAAGAGAAGAGGAGAGAGAGAGAGAGAGAGGGTTGGTGCCATGCAAGGCTAAAGCAAGGAGCCCTGAGCTTTCTTTGAGTCTCCCATGTGGGTACAGGGGCCCAAGCACTTCGGCCACCCTCTATTGCTTTCCCAGAAGCACTAGCAGGGAACCAGATCGAAAGTACAACAGCCAGGTCTCAAACTGGTGCCCATTTGGGATGCCACCATTGCAGTGGAGGCTTAACCAGCTACACCACAATTCTAGCCTTAATTTTTTATCTTTAAATACTGGAGAAGCAATCTAAATATTTGTGACATTTCAACTGAGAAATTCTGTAGCCTTTTTAGAGGAATTCTAGGATCTGTATAATATATTCTGAAAGCAGATTAATGATCTTATTAAAATAATTTTATGGAGGCCGGCACTGTGGCATAGTGGATAAAGCCGTAGCCTGCAATGCCGGCATCCCGTATGAGTGGCTGGTTCAAGACCTGGCCGCTCCACTTCTGATCCAGCTCTCTGCTGTGGCCTGGAAAAGCAGTAGATGATGGACAAAGTGCTTGGGCCCCTGCACCTCTTGGGAGACCCGGAAGAAGCTCCTGGCTCCTTGCTTTGGATCATCTCAGCTCCAGCTGTTGCAGCCATCTGGGAAGTGAATCAGCAGATGGAAGACCTCTCTCTGCCTCTCTGTAGCTCTGCCTTTCAAATAAATATTATAAAATAAATATTATAAAAAATAAATAAATAAAATAATTTTACAGGGCAACAGGTTAAGACACTGCCTGCAATCTCTATGGACAACAGTTCGAGTCCTTGCTGCTCCACTTCCGATCTGGCTCCCTGTTAATGAGCCTGGGAAAACAGCAGAAGACGGCTCAAGTCCCTGGGCTCCTGCACCCATATGGGAGACCCAGAAGAAGCTCTTGGCTCCTGGCTTCATCCTGGCACAGCTCCAGCCATTGTGGTCATTTGTGGAGTGAACCAGCAGATGGAAGATCTCTTGTTCTCTCTAACTCTACTTTTCAAATAAAATAAAAAAATTTTGTTTTACAAAGAATACCCAAAAAAAAGTACCTTTCTAAACCAAATGCTTACAAACAAAATAATTTAGGATTTTTTTCTGATCTCAAATTCTTAATGAAACATCATCAGCAAAAGATCTGTATTTACCTGCCATGGATAAAAAAGAGGAGTCTGATCCAAGGGAACCCTCAGGGGAGCAACAATGACTAGCTCAAACAGGAGCCCCAGAAGGAGCGGGACGACTCCAGCCAGCAGCACGGCAACTATCAACGTCTTCATTATCTGTTAGGAAACAAAAGACTATGTCATTCAAGGGCATCTTCCTCTCTGTAGCCAAACTCTGTACCCCACTTTGACATGCCTAACAGAGCAACTAAACAATTTAAACACACCGTTATGTCTTTAAAAGAAATTTCTTCAATCTGTGATTGTATGAACTCAAACTACAATGAAAACTTGAAATTACTATCCATTGCTGCTACAAAAGAGAAAATTATGGAAAATTCATTTTACTTATAAATATTAACCAAGTGGCTGTGCTGGGTTACTCACAATCACATTCTAATAACCAGGCTTTGTCCAAGAAAAGCCACTGGATGGCTAAGACCTCTGATCCAACAGTGGTTCACACACACATACACTGATCTGTATTGGGAAAGGCTCAGCACAATGCTAGTTAATTAATCAGGCTGATCAATCTGACTCTTCCAGAACAGTACAGTCCAAGAGAACTTACTAAGATGATAAAACATATCTGACTGTTGAATATGGTAGCCATTTAGTCTCTTGGTTTGTCTATTAAAGACAGTGCAGCTGGAGAATTTGGATCAAGTAGAAAAATGAGAATAAATCTGAGACAAAGAAAAAATGTATTATGAAAAAGCAATTACAAAATTCTGACACAGAAATCAGCCCTTAAAATGGCCTTGGGTCTGATACCCTCTCTTTTTCTTAAGGCAGCCTCAGTGAGCACATCTGCTTCAACAAGAAGAGCCTGTATGTGGCAAGCCTGGAAGACTCAGTACTGCCTTCTTTATTTGGCAATCTATGTGACAAATGACAAACAGAAATAGCCATTCTATATTTTAAGTATGAGAACAGTAAAAATTGTCATTATCTTATGCATTAAATAGCAATTAAATCCCTTTACTCAAAACACACATTAATCTCTCACTATAAAAAACTTCTTTCAGCACTAATACAAAATGTATAAAGTTCAAATGAAATAAAAATATAAATTCAGATACAAAACTAGAGTTGATAATACAAATGAAAAACTGATCTAAACATATTTACCAGTCACTGCCAACATTGCATAAAGATATAAATCACTACACTTGTATAAGCACCTTAATTTTTTTAAACCTTACATTTATGGAAATCAAGCTTTTTTATCGAGAGAAATTATATCAAACACTTAACTACACTTTTTTTTTATAAGATTATTTATTTATTTGACAGGTAGAGTTATAGACAGTGAGAGGGAGAGAGAAAGAGAAAAGTCTTCCTTTCGTTGGTCAAGCCCCAGTTGGCCACAACAGTCAGATCTGTGCCGACCTGAAGCCAAGAGCCAGTTGCTACTTCCTGGTCTCCCATGCCAGTGCAGGGGTCCAAGCACTTGGGCCATATTTTACTGCTTTCCCAGGCCACAGAAGAGTGCTGGATTGGAAGAGGAGCAACCAGGACTCAAACTAGCGCCAAAGGAAGAGGATTAACCTACTGCACCACGGTGCTGGCCCCTTAACTTTACTTTCACATTGGCCAAGATAATCCTAAATTAGCAGCAGGCTACATAGATAAAAGAACATGACTTATATGAAAAATATTAACTGGATCCAAAAGTCAAGATTATATATGTTGCTCCTAAAGGCAAGATTATATGTTTTGATCCCAAAGTCAAGATTATACATGCTGGAGTGATGCTGGCATCCCACTTGGGCACTGGTTCAAGTCTCGGCTGCTCCACTTCCCATGCAGCTCCCTGCTATGGCATGCAGAAAGCAGTGGAGGATGACCCAGTGTTTGGTCTCCTGCACCCAGGTGGGAGACCTGGAAGAAGCTCCTAGCTTCAGCCTGGCCCAATCCCAGCCATTGAGGCCATGTGGGGAGTGAACCCGTGGATGGAACATCTGCCTCTTTCAAATAAATAATCTTTAATACACAAAAAAATACACATGTTCAAAGAGAACAAATTAAAAAAAAAACACCAATAAAGGAAAATTCTACTTAAACTTCATTTTAATTCTACAGAATACTTCTTTCCTTAATGAAGTAATAAGTTTTCTTAAATTTTTAATTGTTTTACTTATTCAATGGCCTTAAGTGGATCACTTAGCATATTTTTAACACTCAAAAATATCTGAATATATAACACTGGAGTTTTCAGAATGAACCAGAAAGCTACCATCTTACGATATTCTAAATCAAAAATCAACTCTCCTGACGCTATCAGAAAATACTAAGAAAACTCATAAAACTGGAGAAAAAGATTTAAGAAATGACTGGAGAAACATTCACTACTCCCATCAGACAAGACCAGTCTTCTATTATAAAAACCTACCATGAGGGACCACTCTTTAACCTTCTGGAAGATGACTCTGCGTCCCTGGGGCATCCACGCCACCAGCACAGTCACTGCCCTGATGGTTAGCCAGCAAACATAGAGACCACAAGCAGCTGTGTAGAGTTCATGGATCTTGGCAGTCCCCGTCCAAAATGACATTAACCAACGGCCAGCAAACACTGAAAATAGAAAGGCTGATAAATGAGACTTGCAGCTAGGTAAAGAGAACTGTAATCGTGGTGTCCTATTATTAGTATTTTCACATCAGGACAAAGATATCACACTCTGATGCACCAATGACATCATAAAATAAAGACAAAAATCACAAACTCTAAAGAGTAAACAATACTTGATTAAGATACAAACAAAACACAGGAAGTTGACAGGAACACACTCTCCTGGGACAAGCACTCTGATTTACCAAGCCAATCACTTGTTCCTTTGGGTCTGGAGAAACTTGAGGGTACTACTGTTTTCCCTGTTCTCATTCCCACATGAAATCAGTACCCCTGTAATGCAGGGGTGGGGAATGGCAGGGGCCATGGAAGACCCACGGAATCATTTGGTCTTGCCCTACCATGCCTTAGGTGGTACTCAAAACTCACAGAAGGCTAATTTTTATGTTATAATTATGCATGGCCAGCAAATGATGTTATAAATACCCAAGCAGCCCTTGGTAGAAAAAAGTTTCCACACCCCTGAAATGGAACAAAGATGTGGAATTTTTTTTTCCCTATTGTCTGTACTGTCAACACTTTCAAGATTAGGGAACATCACAAATAAGAGGAACTTTCTTCCAACTGATTCATTTATCAAGATAGAAAACTAAGCTTATTTAATAAGGAGTGGGCACAAGAGGGTCCTAAAGTTCAATAATCAAAGAATACCAAACTAACTTTCTTAGAAAAAAATTATCTAAATATACTGGAACATAATAAACATATTTGAAAGCTGTTGAAGGGCTTGCCACCTGTAAGAGTTGTGAGAAGTAAAATCAGCAATCTCAGGTAAGACCACTTATACAATTTGGTAACTTTCTTGAAACAGAAAGAACCAAAATTCTAGTACATTTCTGCCCCCTTTGGATTGCCTTTCTAACATGGTGGTAATTAAACCTGAAAACCTAAAAGGAGCTGATGGTTGTAATAAGCAAGGTTCTACTAAGCATTACTAATAGATAGGACTTCCAATTTAAGACTAAGAAACTGAGGCAACAGGATGAGAATCCTGCCCAAAGTCACCAACAGTGGAGCTGAATTTCAATGCATGCCTCATGTCAAAACTCATACTCTTGACCAAAGAACTACAATGCCTCCAAATTAAACTAAAACAGCTCAACTGCCAGTGTTACAACTTATAATGCTGATAACCACAGACTTCTTACAAATTCACAAAATAGCTTGGGGGTGAAAATAACTTTTACAGACAAATATATGTAAATATTACCTGAAATACCATGTGTGCTTGTTCATTTGAAGATATCAAAATCATCACTGATCATTCTGTAGAAATGCCTAGTGTTCTACATACATTTCTAGTCTAGGGTTTGTATTTTTTAGTTTTGCTTGTTTTAAATTTAGGGGTCACTTCCTATTCCACACTTCCTATTCCATACTCTAATCAAAGAAGTGTTTTTGAGAGGACAGGGTTAGTTTTTCAACAGTTAAGTTACAGCTCTAGAGAGCATCCTGTGGAGAGAAACAGCACCCTCATCACCTCCAGTGCACACTGAGTCCCACAGCACCTCCGGTGCACTCTGCAAGTCTAACTATTCCTCTAGTTAACCATAAATGGCTGCATTCTTTCTACTAGATTGGGGAACTGAATTAAAGGAAAATAATGTCTACTGGAATTACTAATTGTCAAATATAAGTACTAAAACTAGGCTTCCCTCTTTCATTAAATTTTTCTTAATATTTATGGTAAAAATATGAAAACAGAACATAAAAATCATAAATATACAATGCCCAAAATTCAAAATCTAAATTTTACCAGCAATGTTTTCCTACATTGTATTCAATGATGAACTAGAATTTGTCATTAGTGGGAATCAAAGTCGTAAGAATCAAAAATTACACAAACACAAATATACAGTCTTCATTTTTTTTTTTAAGATCTATTATTTGGAAGGCAGCATTACAGAGAGGCAGAGGCAAAGGCAGAGAGAGAGAGAGAGAGATCTACATGCGTTGGTTCACTCCCCAGATGGCCACAATGGCCAGAGCAGGGCGGATCTGAAACCAGGAGCTTCTTCCAGGTCTCCCACGTGGGTAAAGGGACCGAAGCACTTGGACCATCTTCTACTGCTTTCCCAGGCCATAGCAGAGAGCTGGATGGGAAGTGGAACAGCAGGGTCTCAAACTAGTACCCATATGGGATGCCAGCACTGCAGGTGGTGGCTTTATCCACTACACCACAGCACCAGACTCCACAGTCTTCATTTTTACCAGTTTAAGGCAAAGTCATCATTCCTATGAATTCAAAAAGGTTCTCTGTTTAGAATCATTTGAGGGTCTGGTGTTGTGGCACAGCAGGTTAAGCTGCCACCTGCAACGCCAGCATCCCATATGGGCACCAGTTCAAGCCCCAGCTGCTCCACTTCCGATCCAGCTCCCTACTAATGCACCTGGGAAAGCAGTGAAGGATGGCCCAAATGTTAGGCCCCTGTACCCACGTGGGAAAACTGAAAGAAGTTCCTGGCTCCTGGCTTTGGCCTGGCCCAGCTCTTGCTGTTGTGGTCATTTAGGCAGTGAACCAATGAATGAAGATTCCCCTATCCTGCCCCACTGTAACTCTGACGTTCAAATAAATAAAGTAAATCTTTAAAAAAAATTTGAAATTAATTTTCCTAGTTGTTCTTTCCCAGACTTAGCACTCATGGGAAAATTCAAATATTGAACATAATTGTATTTATAAAATTATATTGAGTGTTATAACGAAGACAACAACTCAATATATAATTTATATTTGATAAGAGTCGAAATTTAGTTTACCTTAATGATTATTTTAGTGATTAAGGCATATCAATATGATTTAAAATTTCTAAATTAACGAGGGAGATCAAGTTGTTTTTTGCCCATCTGACACTGGCTTTGGACTCCAACTCTATTTACCTAGACTTCTGAAGAAAATGACAAGCAACTAGATTCATCCACAGTACATTCCTTTTTAATTTTTATTTTATTTAATTATTTTTTTGACAGGCAGAGTGGACAGTGAGAGACAGAGAGGAAGGTCTTCCTTTTTCCGTTGGTTCACCTCTCAATGGCCGCTGCGGCCGGCGCGCTGCGCTGATCCGAAGCCAGGAGCCAGGTGCTTTTCCTGGTCTCCCATGCAGGTGCAGAGCCCAAGCACTTGGGCCATCCTCCACTGCACTCCCGGGCCAGAGCAGAGAGCTGGACTGGAAGAGGAGCAACCGGGACAGAATAAGGCGCCCCGACCGGGACTAGAACCCGGTGTGCCGAGGATTAGCCTACTGAGCCGTGGCGCCGGCCCCACAGTACAGGCACTGTTTTGTTGATATTTCCAACATACTAATGCCATGGAAGATTAGTATTTGTCAATGCCAGACAATACAGGGAAATACTGGCTTCAAAACATTCTCTAGCAATAGCACATAATGGCTTAGGAGCAATTCCATCATGAGAATAAACATAATTAGCATCATAAGACTGTCTTGAAAAAAATGACTTAATCTATAGATGACTTTGAAAATCCACACCATACCATAAAATCTGAGTGACCACAATACTTTACTTCCAAAATTAAATCACATATGGTAACTTTGCTTTGTCCCTCTGTGCTCCAATATAAATGGATCCAATAAGACAGACTCCTAAACATATCAATACCCATATTCAATCAAAAATGAGAGAAAAACTACTTTGTTTATATTTGACAAGAAATAAAATCTCAGAGATTTAACTTTTTTAAAAGAGCGTTCATGATGTCATCAGTTGAAAACAAGGATAAGGACATACCTGGTAAGGTAAGGCAGATGAGGCTGGCGATCAGTAATGTTATACACATGAAGACGATCAACAGAAAGATCTGTGGAGTAAAACAGAAGAATGCCGAAACGGTTCACAGATGCTCACTGAATTTTATGATACTCTTCAAAAAATCAACACAATTCTCCCAATAAAAAGAAACTGCCTATGTCTGTATTTCCAGGTTTCCTTCAAGTTCACACTGAATGAAAATTCTTACCTATTTTAGGTAAAATTATCTATAATTTAAGTAAAAAAGAAAAAAACGGTGTATTTTCATACAATCAGAAATAACTATCAGTAACAAGCAAGCACAACTTTTAATCAGAGCAGAAAAATAAAACAATAGGTTTAGGGCTTTCTCCTGCTATTAAAACAAAATATTATGACTTAACAAATATCCACCTTTTTATCAAATAACAATGCTAGCCCATTAGAATGTTTGCTAATGAATGAAATACCTAGATCTGCACTGACCAACAAGTGGCCACCAGCCACATGTGGTTACAGAGCAAGTCACACGTGTTTATTAGTGTAAAGGGCCAGATTTTCCTTTAGTTTTAATTAAATGTGAAGGTAAACAGCTACATGTAGCTAGTGTCTCCCATACTGAGAAGAGCAGAAAAAAAGGGAAGGTAGAGAGAGAAGGGAAACGCTAACCCTGGGCAGAAAGGCAAAGACTGCGGCTTGCTTCCCACTATCAAGGCTCATGACCGCAAGATCAGAGGGTAGAGCTCTAGTGAGAAGATGGAAATATACAGACGAGGGGCTGGCACTGTGGCATAGCAGGTAAAGCTGCTGCCTGCAGTGCCGGCATCTCAAGTCCTGGCTGCTCCACGTCTGATCTAGCTCTCCGCTATGGCCTGGGAAAGCAGTAGAAGATGACCCAAGTCCTTGGGCCCCTGCATCCGCGTGGGAGACCGGGAGGGTGCTCCTGGCTCCTAGCTTCAGATCGGCGCAGCTCTGACTGTTGTAGCCAATCGGAAAGTGAACCAGTGGATGAAGATCTCTCTCTCTCTCACTGCCTCTCCTTCTCTATGTAACTCAGACTTTCAAATAAATCAATAAATATTACAAAAAAAAGAAAGAAAAAGGAAATATAAAGACAATAAAATTCAGGAGACTTTGAAATTGTCAATTTTGTTGGCCTGAGAAGCAAATTTCATCTCTGATCTGGCACAAAGTACATTTTGCTTAGAGGGCCTTTTCTGGTGTATACCTCTAGAAAGCCGAGAGGGCCTAGTGAAAACTGGGAAAGGAAAAAGGAGATGACTTTTCAGATTATGATAAAGCCAAAAAATGGCCTCTCCCTCAGGGTGGTACAGAAAACGCCTCCAGTAAGTCGCTGCATCAGAACAGAGACTTCTCCAGCAGGGGAAGAGCAATGTGCTGAAAGTTGGGAAATCCACCGTGGTTTTCAAGGCACTCCTGTTCTGCCCACCTACCGGCCTCGTCCCTTTCCTCTTCTACGTATATTCCAGTACCTGCAGTCCCAAGCCTGCCACGCCCTAACACACCCTTACCACTTCCTATTTTTCTCTCTACTTTAAAAGACATTCCAGGTACCACCTCCAACATGAAGATGGCTTTGGGCCAATGCTAGGATCAGTGGCTCCAGACTGAAGCAGTCACAATACACTCTGCAAACACTCAGTAGGAGAAACAAAATCTGGGGCCAGTGCTGTGGCACAGTGGGTTAAAGCTGCTGCTTGCAGTGCCAGCATCCCATATGGGCAATGGTTCGAGTCCCAGCTGCTCCACTTCCGATCGAGCTCTCTCCTATGGCCTGGGAAAGCAGAAGATTGTCCAAGTCCTTGGGCCCCTGCACACACGTGAGACCCAGAAGGTGGTCCTGGCTCCTGGCTTCGGATTGGCACAGCTCCAGCCACTGCGGCCATCTGGGGAGTGAACCAGTGGATGGAAGACCTCTCTCTCTCTTTCTGCTTCTGCCTTTCAAATAAATAATTTAAAAAAAAAAAAAAAGAGAGAGAGAGAGAAGAAAGGAAAGAAAAACAAACCAAATCTGCTACTATGTATTTTCTCATCTCCTGAGTAGACTAAAAGCTCTTCCACAGCCAAGACTGTAAATGCTCTCTCTCTCTCTCACTGACACCAAAAATAAACATCACAGACACTCAAGACATTTTTCTGAATGACTGGATGAAGTAACCTCCAAAAGCAGTATGATGACTTTTTATGGGGAAAAAAAATAAATTGGGGCCGGCGCCGCGGCTCAATAGGCTAATCCTCCGCCTAGCGGTGCCGGCACACCGGGTTCTAGTCCCGGTCGGGGCGCCGGATTCTGTCCCGGTTGCCCCTCTTCCAGGCCAGCCCTCTGCTGTGGCCAGGGAGTGCAGTGGAGGATGGCCCAGGTGCTTGGGCCCTGCACCCCATGGGAGACCAGGAAAAGCACCTGGCTCCTGGCTCCTGCCATCGGATCAGCGCGGTGCACCGGCCGCAGCGCGCCGGCCGCGGCGGCCATTGGAGGGTGAACCAACGGCAAAGGAAGACCTTTCTCTCTGTCTCTCTCTCTCACTGTCCACTCTGCCTGTCAAAAAAAAAAAATAAAATAAAAAAAATTTATTAAAAAAAATAAATAAATAAATTGGGACCAAGAGACTAAGTAGTCTGCCCAAATTTCAAAATGATGCAACTCACAAGCCCATTACCATTATTAAAGAACATTTAAAATACAATTGACATTTCTGACAAAATTATGAATCACAGACTGATCCTTTACTAGTTTAAAGATCATGGAACAGGCACTTTTTAAAGCAATCTTGCCTTCAGTTTCATCAGCTGTAAACAAGATTACCATCAACATCTTACAGTGTATAGGTGGGAATTAAATGGGATTAAAAACATTAAAATTGTTCACTCTAATTCCTGACACACACTGAAATGTATCACAGGTATGTTTGTTTCCAATTTACTGTAAAGCCTTTTTCACTCTCAAATAACAGGGAACAAGAGCCCAAGAATCTCAACTCCAGCTACCAAGGATGTAATAAGCTTAGGTGATCATTTACCTTCACAGTACACTGCTGAGTGAGGGTAACAAAACATAGGCTCTTGTTAGTGAAGTGCTACACATGTCTATGCAGAGGGCTGCAAGCTAGTAGCAGCAATTCGCACCAGAAACTTGGAAAAACCAGCCCTGGTGCAGTCTGTGCAGTACCCACCCTGAGTGGAAAGCGCAGAGGTCGGCGGTACGGCTGGAAGCCCACAGGGCCACCTTGCTGCAGGATAGCCTGGTGGGCGGCATGCAGGCCCTCCCCCACCGCAGGGACAGCATTGTTATTTCGAGCATGCTGGTTGTTGTTGACTTGCTGATTTGCACTGTTCTCATTTTCTTCCTGGTCTCCCAATAAATACGAATGAAGATCCCTGTGCAAAAATTACATCAGTGAGAAATCTCACTTGAAGTCAGAATGAAGCAGCTGCCATGAGCCTTGTTTTCTTAATACTTGCTACACACAGAAATCTACACACAGCACTATTATTTCAGTCTAGGAGAAATGTTGGAACTTGCTTCAAATTAAACCTTTAAAAGTCCATGTCAATTACTTGTACAATACCCCATAAATTCAATCTATTTTGTTTTCTTCAGCAATTACCTGAGAAGAAATCAGTAACTGAAGAAAAAAAAATCCAATGTACAGAAGCTGAGAATCTGAGGGAGAAGAAGTCTTTATGACTACTGTGTCTACAGTGACATGAGGCTCAACGGAAGCCTCCAGCTACAAAGTCAGTTAAGGCAAAAATAATAAAGGGGGAATTAGAAAAGGACAGATGTCCAATCAAATCCCTGTTTCATGTTAAGGTATCTAATCTACAAGGATGCCAAATACATCCTGGAAAACTCACATCAGAGAGGCCATTCAACAGACACCCACGCTGCACGTGCTGAAGCAGTCAGCTGCCCATACTCACAACAAATAGCCGGCAGTAACAGTCCACGCTCGCACAAGCCCCTTCAGCCACTGCCTCGTGTGTCCCTGTTCAAGTAATGCTGGCAAGACGACCTGCAGCAGGAGCAGCTCGAGGGACAGTTCACTCACTGGAGCATCACTAGGAAATTACAAACACCCACAGTTTATGATGTGAATTCTATTTCTCATTATAACTGTATTATGCTAAGCACTTACTGGAATTACAACAAAATTCCTTAAAGAGCTGAATAAATTCACTGACTTTACTCTCTCTCTTCTGTTCTCTCAAACCCAGTGAGCCTTCCCCCTGAACTCCACCAAAATTTTTCCTGGTAAGGATCACTAACAACCCTGAGGTTGTGAAATCAATGGTCAGATCTTGGTTCTCACCTCACTTGTTCTATCAGTAGCACGTAACACAACTGGTCACTCCTTCTTTCTGGAAGTACTTCATCCTGAACAGCTACCAAAGCCTGCTGGTTCACCTTCAGCCGTCTAACCTGCAGACACTGAAGCATCCTGCGCTCCGTCCTCTCTCTCTCATCTACATTCACTTTCAGGGTGAACGGGAGCCTCATACAGCTTGAAACATTACCTTTCTGTATATTTCTACCTACCACTCAGGGATTTTCTCTAATAGACTCAGTGTGCCAACTCACCACTCCACAGTGACATGTGCTGCACATCTTAAGTTGTTATGTTCAGTATCAAGCTCCCAATCCTCCTACAGTTGTCCTCAGCTCGGTAAAGGGCAACTCTATCCTTACAAGGGCTCAGGGCAGTCTTTGATCCTTGACAATGACTTTCACAATCAAACAGCTAGAGAATCCTACATGCTATCCACTTCTCCCAGCCTCCACTGCCACCTCCTTCATCTCTACCAGAATCACTGCACCATGATCATCCTGGTTCGCTTCCTACTTAATGAAATCACTGCAACCCAGTCTCTTCTCATCATGGCAACCAGAGTGATTATTCTTTAATCCAAGCTAGACCAATCCTTTGCACAAGGCTTTCCAAGAACTTCTGCTTAGGACAATCTATGAGGCTTTCTAGGAGCAGGATTTCCAGGACCTCTCTGACTTCAAGGCCAACTACACTGCCTTTTTGTTTGCACTGCAGCCAAACTTGTCTTCCTGCTGTCCCTCAACACAACTGGATGTCACTGCACATACCAGACCCCCCTGCAAAGATATCCTGCCTTCAGGGATGCACATGGTTCATCCCATCATCATCTCCTTCAAGGCTTTCCTCAACTGTCATTCCTCAGGCCTTCATCAATCACTCTTCATTTATATACACACATTTATTTGAAAAGCAGAGAGGAAGAGAATGGTCTCTCTCATCTGCTGGTTCAGTCCCCAAATGTGCAAAACAGCTTGGTTGATGTTACGGGCTAGGCCAAAACCAAGAGGCAGAAAAGTCAACACAGGTCTTCCCCATAAATGGCAGGAACTCAAGCACACGGAGCACCCTGGAGGCAGGGTGCACATTAGCAAGAAGCTGGAATTGGAGACAGAGGCAAGGCTCAAACACACACGCTGGATACCGATGCATGCATCTCTGGCACCTGCCCCATAACAAGTTTCACAAAGAGGAGGAATAAAATCAAATTTGAAGATAATCCAGAGGCAGAGGTGTGGGTGCTGGATTATAAATGGAGAGTAAGAAGACAGCCTAAACTGAGATACTAAGCGGTAAATCAAGTTGGATTAGTAAGAGATCTAAAAATTAGAACTGAAAAGACTTAAAGATTAGAAGTTTGGTGAGGAAGTCCAATTTGCATGTAATTGGGATAGTGACTCCAAGGATAATGCAAATCACTAAGAAAGAGAATACAGGATGAGTGGCAGAGCGTAGGTTTCCAGGCAACTTAAATTTTTAAACCAAAACTATTTTCCACCTACAAGCCTTAAATCCCACTTTTAATACATAATGAAACATGAACCTTTGGCTTCATTCCTTATGGTATGCTTTTTGAAATAAAGATGATGCTATTACCATACTCACATTAGATATGGTAAAACATTTCAATGGTGAACATATGCATACTTAATTTGCAGAAAAGATAAATCTTCCTTTGGAAAATGTCACCAATAAACAAATGCTTATGTGATCTAGAATATGGCAAAATTTACCTGTGAGATGACTCCCAATATCTAAAAGAAATGAATGTTTTAAATATTTAATGGAATCTGAATATCAAACTCTTAACACATATAAATTAGTAAAGCTATTCCAAATACTACAACTTACCTGTAGAGCATGACATTGTATGGAAGAAAATTAGGCAGCAGACTCTTAATGATACGGATAGGAAGCCACAGCATCAGGAGGACAATGGAGCCGAAGACAATCTGCAGGAAGAAATAGGAGAGACAGCACTGAGATACCCTACTACTGTACTTCTGAATGTCCTTAACCACCTCACAGCCCAGGTCTGCATCTACCCACACCCAGCTGTTCTCACTTGACACAACCTCCTCAGGTCACTTTGTGTAGGACCGTGTTCCTATGAAGGCTAGCTTCTCCTTTTGCTTTAAGGCTCTGCCTCTCTCTAGGACACAGGTCTAAATCGGAGCCTCAAGGGATACCACTGCATGGTGTCATTGCATGACATAAACAGAAAGGTAGAGACTGACAATGGAGGAATAGAATGGCCTGTAACTTGGAAATCATCAGTAACCAAACACATGACCATGATAAAGACCACAAAAATTTCCAAAGGACATAATATTGCTTTTAAAATCCTATCTTGAAAAAGCTTAGATTTCCCTAAATAATTGCTTCTTCCAAGTGGGGAAGAAATTTTGAGATGTTTCTGCTAAGAGTTTAATTTATAAACCAGTAACAAATCTTCATTGCTTCAATACAAATTAAGTAACTCATACACACATAATTTGGTAATTATTACACAGCACTAGAAGGCATTTATGTACAGTAAACATAACATTTAACAATGTAACCAATAAAACAGCTACCTAACAACTGAATTTCATAGACTTAATTTTAAGTTATTCAATATACCAGCCTTTCTCATAAAGAAATTAAACTAAAGGGTAACACACTTCTCTCAAAAACAATGCAAAGATTTGCTCACCACTGACAAAATAAATCTTCGGAGATGCCTATAAATGGGCAAGTGGATCATTTCCTGTACTGGATTAAAATCTGGATCATTCAAATTTCTTAGAAACCACAAGACACCAGGTCGAAGTACCTGCAAGTATATTTTAAGTGCCATAAATAGTCACCAATGTCTTCATGTTCTGTTTATGAGATAAAAGATTAACAGAAAAATAAGCTCCTAAATATGCTGATTATTTCTAAATGGGTGCCAGAAAACTCACATGGTTTTTTTGGCTAAAGAAGCTCCTAAACCAGAGTCTTTACGAAAACTACCCTGTGTTTGAATCCTATGATGCTACTAATCACTTACTGGGAAAAATATTAAGTCCAATTTGTGAAGGCATCTCTTTCTTGTGTTCACAGCTGCTTCTGTGCTGCCATCGCTCTCTAACACCAGCTATGCCCCTCACCCGCCAAGCTCCAGTCAAAGAAAAAGGCGAATAAGTTAGGAGGTCTTTTTTTTTTTTTTTAGATTTATTTTTATTTATTTGAAAGACAGAGTTAGAGAGAGGTAGAGCCAGAGACAGAGAGGTCTTCCATCCGCTGGTTAACTCCCTAAATGGCCACAACAGTCAGAGCTGAGCTGATCTGAAGCCAGGAGCCAGGAGCTTCTTCCTGGTCTCCCACTTGGGTGCAGAGGCCCAAGGACTTGGGTCATCCTCTACTGCTTTCCCAGGCCATAGCAGAGAGCTGGATTGAAAGTGGAGCAGCAGGGTCTCGAAACGGCACCCGTATGAGATGCTGACATTTCAGGACAGGGCACTAACCCACTGCGCCACAGCGCCAGCCCCAAGGCGGTCTTTATACCATGGCTCAAACGAAAGCAGCCTACCTGCAAATCGACATGTGATAAAGCACCCAGGAATCAACTGGCTACAAAAGCTACTTGCAAGAGTGTGCCCTCTACTGGAGAGGTAAAAAAAAAAAAAACACCTCATCATTAAAGGCCTGGTACTGTGGCACTTCATGACATTTGACATTATCAGAAATCCACCAAACTTCCAGGGTCTGGTGAGAGAAACTGCTCAAGATATCAAGACAGATGTGTACTTCCACAGCACATCTACTGGTGCTTTTTTCAGGAGGCATGTGAGACCTATCTAGTTGGCCTTTTTGAGGACACCAACCTGTGCACTAACCATGCCAAACATGTAACAATTATGCCAAAAGACATCCAGCTAGCACACTGAATACATGGAGAATGTCCTTAAGATTGCACCATGTAGAGAAACATTTCATTTAAAAATTTTTTCCTCTCCTTCCTATAATTGGTAGTTCTGAATGTTAAGATATTTTTCCCCCATGGGGTCAAAATGTACCTAAGTATATTATTCCAAGTGGAAAATAGGGGATGGAAATCAAGTACTGGCAGTTTTTCCATTTTATTTGTGTGTAGGAACATAAAGCATTGAGGCAAGTCAAAATGTTTCAGTGAACAGTGAACAGAAATTACCCAGAAGGTGTTGGGCAACAGATATGGATGTGTCTGGGTACAGTCCTGTGTGGTCAAGTTCACTGAGTTACTCTGTGAAAAGCATCTATTCTGCCCAAACCTCTACTTTTCCATAGTACAAATGAGAGGGTTACCATTTCTTTTTTTCTTTTTTTCTTTTTTTTTTTTTTTGGACAGGCAGAGTGGACAGTGAGAGAAAGAGACACAGAGAAAGGTCTTCCTTTGCCGTTGGTTCACCCTCCAATGGCTGCTGCGCCGGTGCACCGCGCTGATCTGATGGCAGGAGCCAGGTACTTATCCTGGTCTCCCATGGGGTGCAGGGCCCAAGCACTTGGGCCATCCTCCACTGCCTTCCCGGGCCAGAGCAGAGAGCTGGCCTGGAAGAGGGGCAACCGGGACAGAATCTGGCGCACCGAATGAGACTAGAACCTGGTGTGCCGGCGCCGCAAGGCGGAGGATTAGCCTAGTGAGCCGTGGCGCCGGCCACCATATACCATTTCTAAAGTGGACCAACAAGAAACAAACCACACAAACGAGATTAAAAAAAAATTAACTATAAAACATTTCATCTCGGGGCTGGCACTGTGGCACAGCGGGTAAGGCCACCATCGGCATCCCATGTAGGCGCTGGTTTGAGTCCCAGGTGCTCCATTTCTGATTCAGCTCTCTGCTATGGTCTGGAAAAGCAGTAGAAAATGGCCCAAGTCCTTGAGCCCCTGAACTCACCTGGGAGACCCTGAAGAAGCTCCTGACTTCGGATTGGCACAGCTCCAGCCATTGCAGCCGATTGGGGAGTGAACCAGCAGATGGAAGATCTCTCTCTCTCTCTCTCTGCCTCTCTCTCTCTCTCTGTGTAACTCTGACTTTCAAATAAATAAATAAAACTTAAAAAAAAAAAAAAGGCAAACAAGAGGCTGGCACAGCGGCATAGTGGATTAAGCTGCCACCTGCAGTGCCGGCATCCCAAATGGTTCAAGACCCAGCTGATCCACTTCCTGTCCAGCTCTCTGCTATGGCCTGGAAAAGCAGTAGAAGATAGCCCAACTCCTTGGGCCCCTGTACCCACGTGGGAGACCTGGAAGAAGCTCCTAGCTCCTGGCTTTGGGTCGGCTCAGCTCCGGCCATTGCGGTCAATTGGGGAGTGGATGGAAGACCTCTCTCTCTCTCCCCCTCTCCCTCTCTCTGTGTGTAACTCTTTCAAATAAAATAAATAAATCTTTAAAAAAAAAAGCAAGCAAAGAAAAACATTTCATCCTTAAAATCTAGAGCTCATATATAATTACAATTTTTTAAAATACTTATGTGTATCTGCTCTCATCTCAATCACTTCTATCAAAAAAAGCACACCAGCCTATACTGTACAATTCAGGAGAATGTTTTGATGCCACCCCCTCCTCCTCACATCTTTCAAAGAGAACAACATTCAGCCTTTGTTCTTTTGTATTCTGTTCCCACTGGATTTGCAGGCCTGCTTCTGTAGGCCCTGCACATTTCCATCACCAGTCTCAGTGGAGAATGCTCCACTTGATCAACAGCTTTATTTATTCATTTCCTATGAAAGTGAGGAGATAGGAAATGTGCCTTTGTTCCTCACTATTACACCAGCATACACAGCACAGTATCTGGTATACAGCGAATACCTAGTCATTATCTGGGGACGATTGACCTTAAGAAATATATCAAATATTAATCTGTTTTCATCATATTCATATCAACAAGGACTTGATCATTCCAAAAAAGCTGACCAGCAAAGGTATTCATCTAGTAAATGAATTAGAATCATAAAGGATGCTCACTGTAATGCTATACTTGAAGTGCCTGCTTCAAAGCCATTTTACATATTTGATCTGCAAACCATACCCTTTGGATAGTTCTAGTATGAAGCTCATACACAAAATTCTAAGAGCATACTACAAGATGACTATACATATAAGCAAATTAAAGAGTGCTCTCATTTAATTTTTCCTCAATCTATCATCTTTCACACTTACAACTTGTCAATTAGAGACAAACAACTGGAAACAGTTTAAAGCAATCCAAACTCCCCTTCTAGTTAGTCCCTTAGAAAAAAAACAGAGGATAAGAGTTATTTAGGAAATCACCAGAGCCTCTGAAGCATGACTAGTGATCAAGGCAAAAGGCCCTTTCAAAAACGCACAGTCAACATTTCCACGTGGGACTCACCTCTCTGAGTAACAGAATGAAAGAGGCAAAGTAGAACACATACACCATCCCCACAAGCCAATGCAGGAACATGGTTGTGCCTGGGGCTGACTGAAAGCTCAATTCTCGATCCTTCAGAGTAGCATCAAACATTTCCTAAGCCAAAACAGAAGAAGTGAGAGAAATTTGTACCACCTACATTTGCCAAATTAACATTCCATCCTCCATCCAGGAAGTAAATAAAATCACTACACATGTAGTGTACGATATTCTAGGACTGCAGGTCTCTCAGTGGCATTTCAAAGTGTCACAGAATCACATGTAAGATTGGATACTACTTCAAAGAGGTAGATAACTCCTTAAAACTTACCAACAGTGAACAAGAGCTTTATTAATACTATTACAGTAAAAGGAGTAGTTTTGATTAATTTAACCTTCTTCTCTTGGTTATGGGTCTGTGCTCGTAAGAAGTTTCAATACTAAGCAACCTCAGAATCAAAGGCAGTATTTCTACAGACAAAATGTTTCTGCAAAATCAAACTGTTTATCAGTGAAAGTCATTGAAGATTATAATCAAGACTGAGCATCTTAAACAGGATTAAATTTATTACTACAAAGTTATTCTCTTCATCAAATTATACTTTTTCTGTATATAATCTCTTACTATTATCATAAAATGTAAAAGGGCAAAATGGATAAGAAAACTCTCCACTGGTTATCAGAAAGGTTCCATTCAAAATACTCTATACAAAAAAAATCAGGTACTGAAAAAAAATAAGAAGAAGAAGAAACTACAGTGATAACATTTTCAGAAAAAATACACAAATTATCAAATATTCACTTTATGAGACTGCATGGTAATGAACACTAAACTCACCAAGGAACAGATATCCAGCCACCAGCCACAAATGAGAGGGAACACTCCAATTTCTACTACCACCAACAGAGAGACCTTAAGTAAAAATAAAGGTCATTAGTATCCCCCAAATGGACGAGAAATCATTTCTAGTTTTAATTTACAAAGGGATTACCTTAACAACAATATAGCAGACTCCCAGTAAGCGACGAGACCTGTGAAATTTTACAAGAGTTGCCAACCCCTATAGCATCTAGTCAAGGAAAAACTGACCATTTAAAGGTACAAGGAAACAAGTAATTATTTCAATAACACTTAATATTTTCACAAATTTATTTCATTTCGTCCATACTCTCCCTTACTATAAACAGCTATAACTTTTACGAAGAGAACAGTATCATTAATAAGAACTCTTTCATATGAATACTATTAAACACTCAAATGGTCCATTAAAGGATACGTGACAAATTATCAGTGTAATTGCTAAAAGTATGTACCCAACTATGGTTGTGATTAGGCCTTCAAAATGAGATGCTTGGACCTAAAAGAAAAATAAATAAAATTTAATTTTACCACATGACCTACAATCAAGTTTTACCTGTATCAAACAATTCCAAATGATAAATGTCAACCATCTAGATAATCTATAACTTGCTAACAACCAAAAAATATCCTTTGGAAAATATCTGGCAAACCAGACTCTCCCATATATAGACTGCTATACATTACTAAAGAATAAAGAAAAATTAAAGAATCACAGTTTACCCAAGAAGACAAAAATAACAGTAGGTTGAGGGGCCAGAGCTGTGGCACAGCAGGTTAAACCTCCGGCCTGTAGCGCCAGCATCCCATATGGGTGCCAGTTCTAGTCCCGGCTGCTCCACTTCCAATCCAGCTCTCTGCTATGGTCTGGGAGCAGTGGAAGATGGTCCAAGTCCAAGGGCCCCTGCACCCTTGTGGGAGACCAAGAAGAAGCTCTTGGTTCCTGGCTTGAGATCAACTCATCTCTAGCCATTGCATTCATTTGGGGAGTGAACCAGTGGATGAAGACCTCTCTCTCTCTCTCTGGCTCTACCTCTTTCTATAAGTCTTTCAAATAAATAATATAAATCTTAAAAAAAAAATAACAGTAGGTTAAACTAAACATTTACAAAACTAAGAACACTAGTCTGCCCTCTAATTTAACTCTATAGCAGCCCCATGCCCCTACCTGCAACTAATACCCAAGGCACCTCATTTCCTACCATCAGAAGTAGCAAGTTTTCCTTATTCCCAAATTGTTCCCAATGGTTAACAGAAATTAAGAGTTTGGGGAATGACAAAGACTGCCCATTTTCATCTCTTTTTGGTTCCTGAGTTTTAGAAAGCATAAGCGGCTGGCACCGCGGCTCAATAGGCTAATCCTCCACCTAGCGGCGCCGGCACACTGGGTTCTAGTCCCAGTCGGGGCGCCGGATTCTTTCCCGGTTGCCCCTCTTCCATCCAGGCCAGCTCTCTGCTGTGGCCAGGGAGTGCAGTGGAGGATGGCCCAAGTGCTTGGGCCCTGCACCCCATGGGAGACCAGGAGAAGCACCTGGCTCCTGCCATCGGATCAGCGCGGTGCGCCAGCTGCAGCACGCCAGCCATGGCAGCCATTGGAGGGTGAACCAACGGCAAAAGAAGACCTTTCTCTCTGTCTCTCTGTCTCTCTCTCTCACTATCCACTCTGCCTGTCAAAAAAAAAAAAAGCATAAGCAACATTTTGCAAAGCTAAAGTTTATCACAGTGTTTTGCTATTTTCAAGTTTCTGCATTCAGATTTGGAATGCTTCAGAACGTGATCTCTCAGGTCTCATATGCACAAACTGAACAGAAGATGCAAGAGAGCTGGCTGTGCTTTAAAGGCTTCAATTCTGTCCCAGCTTCATTTCCAACTCCAGCTTTCCGCTAACGAACACCCTGGGAAGCAACAGGTGATGACGTTCAAGTAGCTGGATGCCTGACACTCACATGAGAGATGTGAAGGGACTGAGCTCCTGGCTTCCAACTTCAGCCTGGTCCTGCCCCAGCTGCTGCAGCTGAGGAAGACAAGCAGACTGGAGATGTCTCCTGTCTGCTTGTCTTCCTGTCTCTCTCTCAAGTATGTAAGTTAAAAAACCAAAATTTAAAATACTAAATCTTTCCAGGGGCCCAATAACATAGAGTCTATCCATGTATTTACCTACCTCTAGAAAATGAGGATAAAATGTTCAAAGAAAAGCAAATTCTTTAGAAACCACTAAAGCCCATCATTACAAGATAGTCTATTCCCTTGGTGAAAGGAAAAGGAGGGAAAACACAGGAGCCCATGGAGTTCACTTTCCCAAAGTGTGCCTCTGGCCCACCCAGCAGGAAGGCAAGCACAATATTATGGGATTTCATGGCACACCTTCATTAGCTGGCAACATTATCTACCAACTCTTAACCCACAGTTAGTTTAAAAAGAACGAGATCATGTTGACTGATGATTCTTTTGCACAAGGCAGATTAAAAAATGAATATTAATACTTAGCAAATACTAAATCTGAGGATAATTAAGGAAGTAAGTTTGTAAAAGTATTATACTCACATGTTCTTCAAATCCCAAACCAACAAGGGAGAAATGACCAATGTGGTAAGGGCAAAATGCTACAAGGAGAAAAAAATGAAAACTTCAGTATGAGTATAATGAACACTCCTAGTACAACCCCTATTAAAAGGAACCAAGATTTCTTGGAGAATCCAGGATTCCAGAACTGGTAAAAAATGCAGCACTTGAGGGACTGCCACTTTGATGCCAAAGATGAAGCCACCACTGGTTCAAAGTCCCAGCTGCTCCACTTTCAACCCAACCTCCTGCTAATGCTCCTGGGAAGGCAAAGGGAGATCACCTAAGTACTTGGCCTCTGCCACTCCTGGGGAAACCACCATGGAATTCCTGGCTCCTGGCTTCAACCTGGCCCAGACATGGCCTTGTGACAATTTGGGAAGTAAACCAGCAGATGAGATTTCTGGGTCTCTCCCTCCCTTTCTGCTGCTTTGCTCTTCAAATATATAAACTGGAACCCATTATGCTTAATGAAATAAGCCAATCTCAGAAAGAAAAATATGTTTTTTATACGTGCCAGTTAATACTGAATACAAAAAAAGTATAAGAACAAAACTGACATCTTATGATTTGATTACTGTTTATAGCCCTGTGGAACAGTGGTCTTGTTACTTTTTACTTGTTGAACATTAAGGCTAATGTTGCATTAAGCTTGTGATTATGAAGTAAACTGAAAGTATGTTATTGCAAAAATTAAAGGAAAAGAAGCCAGCGCCGTGGCTCACTAGGCTAATCCTCTGCCTGCGGCGCCAGCACACCAGGTTCTGTCCCAGTTGCTCCTCTTCCAGGCCAGCTCTCTGTTGTGGCCCGGGAAGGCAGTGGAGGATGGCCCAAGTGCTTGGGCCCTGCACCCGCATGGGAGACCAGGAGGAAGCACCTGGCTCCTGGCTTCGGATCGGCACAGCGCGCCATTTGGAGGGTGAACCAATGGAAGGAAGACCTTTCCTTCCTTTTCTCTCGCCCAGGCCAAACTATTGTGTTCATAAGAGGAGTGAACCAGTAGATGTAAGTTATGGAAAATAATAGAAATTTATGGATGGAGTGGAGATGGAGTGAGGGAGACAAGAAAGTATGGTTATCTTCTTAGAATTGTTTCTATGAAATCTGTTCTCTTTATACTAAAAAAATTTAAAAACTATCTTTTAAAAAATGTATTATCTAGGATAATCTCTATTAACCAGAAAATAACAAAGTTAACAATTGTCAATATAGTATCACTGTGCTATAGCCAGTGTTGTGGCACAGCAGGTTAAGACAAGCTACCAGTGGCAACATGGGCATCCCATGTGAATGCCACTTTGAGTACCAGATGTTCTGCTTCCAATTCAGCTGCCTAATGCACCTGGAAAAGCAGTGGAAGATGGCCCAAACACTTGGGTCCCTGTCACTCGACTTGGATGGATTTCAGGCTCCTGGCTTCAGCCTGGTTCCACCCCAGCTGTTGCAGCCATCTGGGGATTGAATCAGTGGATGGAAGATCTCTCTACCTGTCCCTCTCTCAGAGATAACTCTGCATTTCAAATAAATAAAAACCAATCTTTAAAAAATAGGTCAAAGAGACAATGATATGAGCATCAACAGGAGTAATGAACAAAACTGATAGAAACATGGAACACAAACAACCCATGAGCTTACAATGCCCACAAAAAGGAAAGCCCAAAATAAAACCACAAAATGAGAAGGCAGCAACATCAAAAAAATACTTTCTAATTCTGGAAGCGGTGTACACGAAAGGAAGTAGTTAGCGTATCAAATGTCTTACTTTTAAAACCAGTAACTACATAGAGAAAGTTAGGTTATCTGTCCAGTTTCCCCTGAACAAACAACTTCAGGTTAACTAAACAGTCCTAGATCATTCTTTCAGAAATGAAAATCAAAAAGGTAAAAAGTGATCAAATTTGAAAACCATCATTTCGAAATTCCAAATCAATGACTCAGGTAAGGATCAAGAGCTAATAAAATCATGAAGTGAAAGATCAATGACACAGCAGGTTAAGCCACGGCCTGAAGTGCCAGCATTCCTATGGGCACGGGTTAAAGTACCAGCTGCTCCATTTTTGATCAGCCCCTTGCTAACACATCTGGGAAAACAGTGGAGGATAGCCCAATTCCTTGGGCCCCTGCACCTATGGGACAGACCTAGAAGAAGCTCTGGCTTCAGCCTGGCCCAGCCTGGCCCAGCCTGTCCTTGTGGCCATCTGGGGGAGTGAAGCAGTGGATGGAAGATCTGTCTTTCAAATAAATAAATAAATCTTTTCTTAAAAACTCATACAGGGGACAGCACTGCGGCATAGTATGCTTATCTGCTGCTTTGAACACTGGCATCCCACATCAGAGTGCCAGTTGCAGTCCCAGCTGCTCCACTTCTGATTAAGTTCCCTGCAACTGCATCTAAGAAAGTAGCAGATGACAGTCCCAGTACTTGGGCCCCTGCCACTCACATGGGAAACTATATGGATAAAGTTCCTGGCCCCAGCCTAGCCTAGCCTTTAACTGCTGCAGTCATTTGGGGAGTGAACCAGCTGATGAAAGATGTCTCTGTTTCTCTTTCTCACTCTGCCTTTCAAATAAGTAAGTGAATCTTAAAAAAAAAAAAAAAAAACTGATGGAGGGGCTGGAATTGTGGTGTAGTAGGTAAAGTTGCTGCCTGCGATGCCAGCATACCATACAGTCACTGATTCATGTCCCAGCTGCTCCCCTTCCAATCTAGCTCCTTGTTAATGTGCCAGAGGAAGACTGCTCTAGTGCTTGGGCTCCTGACACCTACCCACGTTGGAGACCTAGAAGAAGCTCCTGGCTCTTGGCTTCAGCCCTGGCCATTGTGGCCATTTGGAAAGGGAATCAGTGGGTGGAAGATCTGTGTGTCTCTCCCTTTCTCTAACTCTGCCTTTCAAATAAATAAACAGTACGGATTATTATTTATTATTTATTCTAGTATGATGATCCATACCATCATATTAAAATATTATATCCACAGATTGCATTCTGACAGAAAAGGGAAAAACGAATGTCAAGAACAGAAGCTCAGGTTGGTATCACTTGAATCCACAGATAAACATGGATAACTGGACATCATATACCTCCTCATGTCATATTAAGGGAAAGAGTGATCTGTGAAAGATTTGTGCCAAATGTACTGAACCTGAATCTGACCAGGTTCTTAAATCTGACTTCCAGGTTGTGAGAAATACAAGAGGCAAAGGATGAAGGCAGGGAAAACTGTGAAACCTCTGGGGCCAGCGCTGTGGCGCAGTGGGTAAACCCATCGCCTGCAGAGCTGGCATCCCATATGGGTGCCAGTTCTAGTCCCGGCTGCTCCACTTCCAATCCAGCTCTCTGCTATGGCCTGGGAAAGCAGTAGAGGATGGCCCAACTTCTTGGGCCCCTGCACCCACGTGGGAGACCTTGAAGAAGCTCCTGGTTGCTGGCTTCGGATTGGCAGAACTCCGGCCATTGCGGCCAACTGGGGAGTGAACCATCGGATACAAGACCTCTCTCACTCTCTGTGCCTCTCTGCCTCTCCTCTCTCTGTGTAATTCTGACTTTCAAGTAAAATATTAAAAAAAAAGAAAGAAAGAAAGAAAGAAAGAAAGAAAGAAAGAAAGAAAGAAAGAAAGAAAGAAAGAAAGAAAGAAAGAAAGAAAGAAAGAAAAGAAAACTGTGAAACCAGTATAGAAAATGATGCACTGTGAAGGACAGTTTTCCTAATCTTGTCAATAAATCTGGCAAAATGGGATGGAGGGAACAAAGAGTGGGTACGAGAATAAAAAACACAAACTTCAAAACTAGGGGTCGGCACTGTGGTTCAGCGGGTTAACGCCCTGGCCTGATGTGCCAGTATCCCACATGGGCGCTGGTTCAAGAACTGGCTGCTCCACTTCTAATCCAGCTCTCTGATATGGCCTGGGAAAGCAGTAGAAGATGGCCCAACTCCTTGGGCCCCTGCACCCGCGTCGAAGACCCAGAAGAAGCTCCTGGCTCCTGGCTTCAGATCCGCACAGCTCTGGCCATTGCAGCCATCTAGGGAGTGAACCAGCAGATGGAAGATCTCTTTCTCTCTGCCTCTCCTCTCTCTGTTTAACTCTTTCAAATAAATAAATAAATCTCTTAAAAAAAAAAAAAAAAAAAACTAAAAGTAACATGTAGACCTTACTTGGATTTTCAAACAAATCAACTGTAAAACTGTTTTTTAGGAAACAATCCAGATATTAAGAATATGAATTAAGAGGCCAGAGTTGTGGTGTAGCGGATTAAGCTACCACCTGCCATGCTGGCATCCCATATGGGTGCCAATTCAAGACTGAGCTGCTTCACTTCCAATCCAGCTCCCTCCTAATGCACTTGGAAAAGCAGTGGAGGATGGCCCAACTGCTTGTGGGAGACCCAGAGAAACTCTGGGCTCCTGCCTTGGCCTGGAACAGCCCCCCTATCCATTGCAACCATGTGGGGAATGAACTAGCAGTAGATTTCTCTCTTCCTTTCCCCTTCTCTACCTCTTTTTTTTTTTTAAGATTTATTTATTTGGAAGTCAGAGTTACACAGAGAGACAAGGAGAGCAGAGAGAGCGAGGTCTTCCATCCGCTGGTTCACTCCCCAACTGGCTGCAATGGCTGGAGCTGCGCCGATACAAAGCCAGGAGCTTCTTCCAGGTCTCCCACATGGGTGCAGGGGCCCAAGGACTTGGGCCATCTTCTACTGCTTTCCCAGGCCATAGCAGAGAGCTGGATCAGAAGTGGAGCAGCCAGGATATGAACCAGCACCCATATGGGATGTCAGCACTGCAGGCGGCAGCTTTACCCGCTATGCCACAGCACTGGCCCTTTCTAACTCTTTCAAGTAAACAAAAATATATATCTTTTAAAAAATAAAATATGAATTAATATATTTTAAAGAAATTTTGGCCAAGTTTGTAAAGTGTGATAATGTTAAAATATCCTTAAAATTTTCCTCTGAAATAAGGATTTTTAAAAAAGATTTATTTATTTATTTTAAAGTCAGAGTTACACAGAGAGAGAAGAAGCAGAGAGAGAGAGGTCTTCCATCGGATGGTTCACTCCCCAATTGGCCGCAATGGCCGGAGCTGGGCCAATCCGAAGCCAGGAGCCAGGAGCCAGGAGCCAGGAGCCAGGAGCCAGGAGCCAGGAGCCAGGAGCTTCTTCCGGGTCTCCTACGTGGGTACAGGGGCCCAAGAAGTTGGGCCATCTTCTACTGCTTTCCCAGGCCATAGCAGAGAGCTAGATCAAAAGTGGAACAGTTGGTCTTGAACCGGCGCCCATATGGGATGCCAGTGCTTCAGGACAGGGCATTAACCCACTGTACCACAGCACCAACCCCATGAAATAAGAATTTTTATGGGGCCAGCACTGTGGCGTAGAAGGTTAAGGCTTTGCCTGCAATGTCTGCATCCCATATGGGTACCAGTTCAAGTACCGGCTACTCCACTTCCAATCCAGCCTCTAGCTAATGAGCCTAGGAAAGCAGCAGAAGATGGCACAAGTCCTTGGACTGCTGCATCCACATGGGAGACCCAGAAGTCCTGGTGCCTGATTTCATACAGGCCTAGATCCAGCTGCTGCTGCCATTTGGGGAATGAACCATTGAATGGAAGCTATCTCTTTCTCTCCTTCTCTCTCTGTATCTCTGCCTTTCAAATAAATAAATAAATCTTTAAGGGAAAAAAAATAATTCTTACAGTATCTTTTCCTTAGATCTTTCTTGCTGTATTTTACTTTGTTCTTAGTAAGAAAACTGAGTAACCTTTTCTTTATGGTAAACATAATTAAACAATATAGTAAATTAAGAGGAAGGCAAGGGACTCAATTATTAAGAAAAAAGTCACAGTGAGTCCACTAGGGATCTAGTCTCTAATTTTTCCTTGGGTAGAAATTTTCTGAACATATATTCCCAACAAATTCAAGTTTTCTTTATAAAGCACATAAATTTATAAACTCTATATATTATTTTACTATTATGTACATCACAAAACACAAGACACTGTAGAGGCTACAAATGAACTACATGAAGGATTTTTGCTACTTTGTTCTCTACGACTATTCTCATGAAGAGGCCGCAAAAACTAGACTACTGAGAAAGGCTTTAAAAGGTTGTAGTTCTGCAAAGTCTGTGACCACAAGAGCCCAGAAATGTCAGTGGAAAACTGCCAGTAGAGCAAGCCATGCAGGAAAGAAAGAAGCAGGTGTAGCCGGTGCTGCGGCTCACTAGGCTAATCTCCGCCTTGCGGTGCTGGCATACCGGGTTCTAGTCCCGGTCGGGGCGCCGGATTCTGTCCCAGTTGCCCCTCTTCCAGGCCAGCTCTCTGCTGTGGCCAGGGAGTGCAGTGGAGGATGGCCCAAGTGCTTGGGCCCTGCACCCCATGGGAGACCAGGATAAGTACCTGGCTCCTGCCATCGGATCAGCGCGGTGCGCCGGCTGCAGCGCGCCAGCCGCGGCGGCCATTGGAGGGTGAACCAACGGCAAAGGAAGACCTTTCTTTCTGTCTCTCTCACTGTCCACTCTGCCTGTCAAAAAAAATAGATGAATAAAAAAAAAAAAAAAAAAAGAAGTAGGTGCTTAATCTCAGTGACTAAAAGGAAAAGTTACATTCCTAAAAGATGAAAACTTCTTTAATTTCCAAAGATTCTAGCTACAAATGCTGTGTACAAGTTTACTAAGAAAAAAATTTTTCACAGAAAAACTGAGGAGCTTGGATTAGAAACAAATTTATTCAGCTGGGATCTGATTTACATAGATGAGTTCTAATTTGTGTAATACGAGTACTACAGGTGATTCGTTCCTCCAAATAGTAATTTAGCATCAAGTTTATGCGCAAGAACAAACACTAACTCCTACAGATCATTTATTTTCTCTCAAAGAATCTGGGATAGGATCACACAGTTTCACTTTCTATATATGAATTACTTTATGTATTAAAAAAATACGGGGGCCGGCACTGTGGAGTAGCGGGTAAAGCCACCGCCTGCAGTGCCAACATCCCATATGGGCACCGGTTCAAGATCTGGCTGCTCCACTTCCAATCCAGCTCTCTGCTGTGGCCTAGGAAAGCAGAAGATGGCCAAAGGCCTTGGGCCCCTGCACCCACGTGGGAGACCTGGAGAAAGCTCCTGGCTCCAGATCAGCGCAGCTCTGGCCACTGTGGCCAGTTGGGGAGTGAACCATCAGATGAAGACCTCTCTTCCCTCCCTCCCTCTCTCTCTCTTTCTCCCTCCCTCCCTCCCCCCCTCTCTCTCTGCCTCTCCTTCTGTATAATTCTGGCTTTCAGATAAAATAAACAAATCTTTAAAAAAAATTTAAAAAAGGAAAAAAACAAAGTCACAGGTGTTCACTCCAAATACAAGGGTAAATCACAGAGAATGAGCTTCTTGTTAAATACTCACCATCCTAAAATACTGAAAATCAAGAATGAATGGAATTTTTTTGAGATCCTTTGTTTCAACAAGAAACCTGCAAATTTCTTTCACTCTTTTAGAGTCAAAAATCAGTTTTTTTGTCATCTTCAATCCAAATATTCTATCTTTTTAGATTACACGGCTTCCTGTTAAAGACAACTGCTTCTTGGACATAACATAGTTCCAACACAAATCAAAGAGCGTGGAATCTGGTGGAGAAGCCTTGGGAATCGTTACTCCTCCTCCTCGGCAAAGCTGAGGCATAACTCACATGCTTCCCTCCTATATAGACACAAACCACAGCACACCTAACAATAACCGCCTCGTCAGACTCCGCCTCCTCTCCCCTGAGAGAAGCAGGATTGACTACTACAGCCTTGTTTTATTTGACTCAGTTTTCCTTTTCTCTCCCAAAGCAGAAAAACCTCTGACAACTGTGCCCTTTAGCTCAGCTCTAATTATTATCCTGTCTCTAATTACTAACAACAAGAGGCACTCGTGCTGTCACAGAATCCTCACAGCTGCAGTTGAACCAGTGTTTGGAAGCATATGCTAGCTTCCAAAGGAGTTTATAATGGGGAAGAAGTACTGTCTTCCCTTACGCCTACATCCATCTCTGGTAATGGTCCCCAAATCAAGGTCTCTGTGACAGATGAAAACAAGATCGTCTGTCATGGGAGAGAGCCTGCAAACAACAGCACAAAATTAATTTCCAGAGATGGGGCACTACACATTCTCAAATTAATCTAAAACTAGATTCTGCAGCAGGAGACAGGAAATGCAAAACTGGGTAACCGCAGTCTATGCTGTTCAGGAAAATACGCACATACTGGGGCCTTCCTATACAGGATTCCTTTCCTAACTATATATATTCCTTAATATTCCTATGCTAAAGAAAAACAAACACCTGTAACAAGGCTTCTATAAAATGAAACTCCAACCATAATAGCATTATAAAAAAAGCATAACACAACTTACCAAAAACAAGAATGAACAGTGTATTTAAAGACACCACCCAGAAGACATGTTCCTAAAGGAAAAGAGCATTATTAAAACATAGTCAAGTCACATTTGGCAAATTTTCAGTTGGACTACTCCACTTATTTAGCTACAGCTAAATAATGAAAATAGCTAAGACTGAAATTTTTCCTTCCACAATTTCGAAATATCAACCTAGAAATTTTAACTTTTCATTGAATAACCCATAAAACTAAGACTTAATTAACTTAAAAGTACATAATGTTACACAAAGGAAAACAACTCAATTTATACTATTCCTTTAGAAATTAATGATCTATTACCAGCACAAGAAACTAATCTGATAAGACACAGAACCTTCCTAGGTAGATCTATCAAAAGGTGAAGAAAAACGTTTCATAATCTCTTGTATCAAGAGACAATTGATATTCCAAAATACACGGAAGGAAGGAAGGAAGGAAGGAAGGAAGGAAGGAAGGAAGGAAGGAAGAAAGGAAGAGTCATTTTAACAGAAAGTTCTGCATCAGTGTACTTTTGTGGCTCAATTTTGGGACATATGATAAATTCATTCAGTTTCATCCAGCTTATCCATTAATTTTTTTAAAACATTTATTTATTTATTTGAGAAAATTACACAGAGAGAGAAAAAGAGGCAGAAGGGGGGGGGGGTGTCTTCCATCCTCTGGTTCACTCCCCAACTGGCCGCAATGGCCAGAGCTGTGCTGATCCGAAGCCAGGAGCCAGGAGCTTCTCCCAGGTATCCCACGTGGGTGCAAGGGCCCAAGGCCTTGGGCCATCCTCTACTGCTTTCACAGGCCATAGCAGAGAGCTGGATCGGAAGTGGAGCAGCCGTGACTGGGACCATTGCCCATATGGGATGCTGGCACCATAGGCAGCGGATTTACCTGCTACACCATAGCACCAGCCCTATCCACTAAGTTTTTTAAAGATAGCTTTCTGGGAGGAGGAAGGAGTGCTGGAACATGGACAGAATAGAGGATAGGGTGAGAAGTATCATTATGATTCTAAATCTGTATATATGAAATACATGAAACTTGTGTAACAAATAAAATTTAAAAATAAGCTATTATTAACTACATCAAGTAGCATATAAAAAGTTCCTTTTAAATCAAATGACACTGAAAAATTCCAAATGGAGAAAAACTTCAAAACTACATTAATTCTGAAAACCATGAGTTACACAGTGTTTGTTTCAGTGTCCAGTCTGCTTCCATGACTTCTCTAGGGTCACAACTGCTTGGTTGCCTCCCCTTCTGAAAACTCTAGCTTGATCTTCACTGTCCCCAGCTCTCCCTCCGTATTCTGGCTTTCTTCTGTCTTTGAAACTCATTCTCAGGGATAGGCATTTGGTACCCATATCCCATATCAGAGTATCCGGGTTGGAGTCTCAGCTCCACTTCTGATAGAGCGCTGCCTGCAAATGTGTACTCTGTGACATAGCAGGTAATGGCTCAAGTACTTGGGTCCCTGCCACCCATGAGAGAGAATCAGACTGAGTTCCAGGTTTCCAGCTTCAGCTTGGCCCAGCCCCAGCTCTTTACAGGCATCTGGGAAATGGACCAGCAAATAGAAGATACCTGTCTCTTTCTCTCTGCCTTTCAAATAAATAAATTACTCAAGAACAGACCCATTCTCATCTGGCCACCTGGTCTACTTTCAGAGTTACACAGTCTCACTACCCAAAAGACTGTTATCCATCTATTTTTTTTTTTTTTTTTTTTTTTTGACAGGCAGTTAGACAGTGAGAGAGAGAGAGAGAAAGGTCTTCCTTTTGCTGTTGGTTCACCCTTCAATGGCCGCCGCAGCTGGCGCACCGCGCTGATCCGATGGCAGGAGCCAGGTGCTTCTCCTGGTCTCCCATGGGGTGCAGGGCCCAAGCACTTAGGCCATCCTCCACTGCACTCCCTGGCCACAGCAGAGAGCTGGCCTGGAAGAGGGGCAACCGGGACAGAATCCAGTGCCCCGACCGGGACTAGAACCCGGTGTGCCAGCACCGCAAGGCGGAGGATTAGCCTAGTGAGCCACGGCACCGGCCTCCATCTATTTCTTTAGCTACATCACACACATTACAGCCATACTCAAGGATTACATTCTCTAGACTGTGCAAGCCATCCACTTGGGCCTACCACCTTCTCCAACCATCAAGCTAAGACCCTTCAGAGTGAGGTTAACATGGTTAGGTTTTCTTTTTAGGAAGATTTCTGTGTTCAAGTCCCCCAATCTTCCACAAATCCAACAAGCAATAAGGTAATAGTTTGCTTTTAAAAACCAGAGACAAACTGCCACTTTCCAACTCACTACTCTGGCTCAATTTTTTCAGCTTTTCTACCTTAAGGGTTCCCAAACTCAGCCTTACTCCCAACAGCTTTCATGCCTCCAGTACTTTCTCCTCTCCACAAAAACAAACCTTTCCAAGCCCTCGTGCCCAATGCCCTCTTTTTGTCACTGCATCTCTAACACACACCTCTGAAGTTCCTTGTCCACATGTTTGTTTCTGTCTACTAAACAACAAAGTGTCTTCGAGAAAAGGGACCCCACTGGTAACTACAACAGCTGGCACATGGTACATATCAAGTATTTTTCACTGAAGCAATGCAGTCACCCTGCAGTTTTGTCAATAATTAGAATGGGTTTGAGTCAACCCCACTACTTCCTCAATGACTTCTGTCATTCATTTATGAGAAAGCAATGAGGTAAATATGAATGAGTTTGTGACCAAAAAAATTCCTTTCATACTGTGAACAAACTTTGCATAGAAGTTCATTAAAATCATATTTTACTAAATTGTAAATTACAACAGGAATGTTCCCTCAAATTCTCACACTGCTACCTTCAACATCTTCTTCAGAGAAGGTCAAAACACCAGGGACAGCCAAGGAGATGGAAGGACATTATCTGGGTCTTTGATGATATTGTTGGGCCTCCAGACCTAACTCTAGGGGCATACTTTCTCTCGTCTTCCTGTTATGTTACTGCTCCAGTTGGCACAGTGTTTTGCGACCTGCATACAAAGTCACCTTGACAGCTAAGCTGTTTAAAAAGGAGTAGGTATTTGGCCCAGTACTTAAGATGTTCATGTCTCATACTTGAGTATCTGGGTTCAAGTCCCAGCTCTACTCCCAATTCTAATTTCCTGATAATGTATACCCTAAGAGACAGCAATGATGGCTCAAGTAGTTAGGTCCCTGCCACACATGTGGGAGATATGGACTGAGCTCCTGGCTCCCTGTTTCAGTTGGGCCCAGCATCTGAACCAGTGGACAGGAACTCTATCTGCCTCTCAAATAAATAATTAAAAAAATAAAAATTGAAAAAAAATTGGGGGGCCAGCACTGTGGCATAGCTGTGCATAGCACCATAGGGTGCCAGTTCGAGTCCCAGCTCTTCTTTCAATCCAGCTCTCTGCTTATGGTCTAGGAGAGCAGCAGCAGATGGTCCAAATACTTAGGCCCTGCACCCACATGGGAGATCTGGAGGAAGCTTCCTGTCTCCAGGTTTTGGACTGGCTCTGCTCTGGCCCTTGTGGCCATTTGGGGAGTGAACCAGCAGATGGCTTTTCTTTGTCTCTCCCTCTCTGTCTGGAACTCTGCCTCTCATGTAAGTGGCTGAGAGGGTTAAAGCCTCATCCTTCAGCACAGGTATCCCATGTGAATGCCAGTAAAAGTCCTAGCTGCTCACTTCCAATCTAGCTGCCTGCTAAAATGTGCATGGTAAAACAGCAGAGGATAGCACAACTTCTTGGGCCCCTGCACCCACATAGGAGACCTACATGAAGCTCCTGGCTTTGGTCTGGCCTAGCCCTGGCTGTTGGGACCATCTGGGAAATAAACCATAGGACAGAAGATATATCTGTCTCTATCTGCCTCTCTCTCTAACGCTCTTTCAAATGAATAATAAATCTTTAAAAAAAAGAATCCCAAATACCAGCTAATTTTATGTGGCATGATCTGAGAGCATTTCTTTTAAAGAGTAAGTTGTTTGGAGGACTGCTCCTCATGTTAGGGTCATGATCTTTACTAATCAAGAGTTCTGCAGTAAGGATGGGTAGGACTCAGCCAACAGTAGAAACCCAAGACCGGCCTAGGGTTCTCACTGAATGCACGTAACTGCTTTGTGTTTACCAATCCAGGTATCAACAGTGTAAGACTAAACTAAAAAGGAGACTAAGTTCTTCTAATTACCATTAACACTGGACTACATTTTCTTTTCTAGAAGATATTTAATAATAATAATATCCTCTTCAAATAGTATTACCTTTATACTTTTGTACTGACAATACATTCTGAAAAAGAAACTTTCTTCAAACATTAAGTAATCAAAAGTCAAAAGGCATTTTGAGCTTTAATATAAAAAAGCACATACTGTAAATCTGAAGTTATTGAATATTAAGACAAATTAACTTACAATTTTGTTATTAAGCAAATTATCTCTCTCCCTCTCCCTGTCACTCTGTGAAACAAATATTTATTTAAATGGGGGCGTGGGGGGCAGCATTGTGGCACAGTATGTTAAGTCACTGCTTGCAACACTTGACACCAATGTCCCATACTGGAATGTTAGATAGAGTCCTGTATGTTCTACTTCCAATCCAGCTTCCCGCTAATGTGGTCTGGGAAGGCAATGAAAGACGACCCATGTATTTGGGACCCTGCCACCCATGTTGGAGACTTAAGACGGAGGTTCTGGATCCTAGCTTCAGCCTGGACCAGACCTGGCCATCTAGGGAATGAACTAATAGATGGACACGCACACTATCTTCTTCCTTCTCTGTGTCATTCTACCTGTCAAATAAATAAATCTTTAAAAACAAAAACCATTAGTTTTACTTACCAGAAAAACTAGTGACCCATCAAGTCCTAGCATCTAAAATAAACAAATAGGCATTAGTTCATGATACAACAGTATTTTCTATTCTAATTTATGAAAAAGGCTCATTTTCCTTTGCAAATGTTTAAACAAAGTCTTTACCTACTACTTTCCAATACTGTCTATCATTTCCAGAGAGTAAAATTTCTCCTCTTGTAAAAAAAAGGGGGGAAAGGCAGGCATTACCCTAGCAGTTAAGATGCTAGCATCCCACATCAGCATCCTACCTAGGTTCAATACCCAGTTCTGGCTACTGGCTCCAGCTTCCTCAAAATGAGTATCCTGGGAGGCAGCAGTGACTGCTCCAGTAATTGGGTTCTTGATATCCACATGGGAGACAAGTTCCCAGCCCCTGACTTCAGCCCAGCCCTAGTCATTCTGGGCATTTGGGATATCAACAAGCAAATGGGAGATCTCTCTGACTCTCAAATAAATAAAAACTCCTTTAGAAAAATGTTTGTAAGAATTTTCTATTTTAGGTCTTCTTTTATTCCAAATCTATAAACTCTAAAGGATTTCATCTTGGGTTGAATTTTACATTACATAGAGCCAGTAAAGACTTCATGATAGAACTAAAGTCTAAAAATACTTAAACTGCTACTGTTTTTTTTTCAAAAGCCCACAATTCAAGTGGAAATATTCCCTACATGGAGCAAAGTTTGTATTAAAAGCCAGAAGACAGAAATAAAATCATCAATGTCACAGTATTTTTACTCGAAACAGTAGAACACTTAATTTTCTCTAGAAATTAAAATTCTGGTTAGCTGTTTCCATCAAATTTAACTATGAAATAAGGGTATACATCTAAACACAAAGAACTTTAAAACACAGGCCACTTGACACTCACTCTTTCCCATGTAAGTTCTTCTGCAGCTCGGTCCCATTCTAAAGCATTCCAGTTCATGTCATCTGGAAATACAATTGTAGTTCAAAATTAACTGATGGAACATGAACTATAAATAATAAAATGCATTCTTTGTAATTAAGTATTCTTAAGCTGTTGTCAAGAAGCTAAACCATATTTATAAATTTTCCATACTAGATATTGTAGGCAACAAATAAAAATACATCTAAATATATGTATAAAATAACACATATTAAAAAAGGTGATCCTACATTATTTTAAGTTTAAAAAGGCAATAAGTAGGGTTATATGAAAGAGAAGAATTCAACAGTTCTGAGTAAAGAATGAATCTGGTGGCTTTGAGAAAAGTAAGGAAGCCAGGGAACAAGAACTCTGAGTAATGAAGAGTAAAGTGGAAGACAAAGCATGAAGAGCTGACAGTGATCAGATCTTACGAGGAATGTGGAGCCTGGGTTTACTTTATTCTTATAAAGCACAATGAAAACACCACTGAAAGAAAACCATTAGGACTCAGCAGTAACAGTGGTAGTAGGAGACTAGTTAAGTAGCTACCATATTGGACCAAGAGAAAGATGATGGCCATGCACCCAGTAAAAGCAGGTTGTATTCTCAGAGGCTGACTCTTCCTACAAAGGCTCCTTGCTCCCATTATAGAACTATATCCCCCTCATCCTTTACGTATTTGCTCAAATATCATTTACTCTGAGCTACCTGGGAAACCTCATCAGGTGTCTCCCCAACAGCATCCACAATGCAACTTGCAAAATACTTATCAAAATGTGTATTTCCTATTTCTTCACTAAACCACAAGCTCCATGAAGGCAGAGATCTGGTGTTTCGTTCAGAAACACCACACAAAGACATTCAAATACCAACAGTGTGAGTGAACCTAGAGACAGGCCAGCACTGTGATAGAAGAAGGGAAGCAGAGGCAGTGAACTACTCATGGCTGACTGCATACTCACTCTTGGATCACACTTCAGAGCTTACACTGCCAAAAGTGAAACCCCGGATGTGAGCACCTTGCCTTCAAAACTTCCTTTTGTACTTTAAAAGTTGCACTAACTCAACAGATACGGACAGAGAGAAGCAAACAAATAATGGAAATCTGAATAAAATTATTTTTTTAAAAACATAAGCTTCATTCCAAAAAAATCATTTCCTCCAATTAAAGATGACCTGAATATGGGGTCCACAATGTGGTATAGCAGGCTAAGCCCTTGCCTCTGACACCAGCCCCCGAGATGGGCACCAATTCGAGTCCCAGCTTCTGCAACTTCTGATGCAGCTTCCTGTTAAAGAACTGGGAAAAGCAGTGGAAGATGGCCCAACTGTGTGGGCCCCTGCACCTGTGAGGGAGACCTGAAAGCTCTTGGCTCTTGGCTTCTGTATGGCCCATCCCCAGCCGCTGCAGCCATCTGGTGAGTGAGCCAGCAGCTAGAAGCTCTCTCTCTCTCCCCTTCCTTCTCTTTCTCTGTAACTCTGCCTTTCAAACAAATAAATTAAATCTTTTCTTTTAAAAAAAAAAAAGTCCTCATGGGGCCAGATCTGTGGCACAGCAGGTTAAAGCCCCGGCCTACAGAGCAACCATCCCTTGAGGGTGCCAGTTCAAGTCCCAGCTGCTCCACTTCTGATCCAGCTCCCTGCTGATACGCCTGGGAGGGCAGCAGCAAAAGACAGCTCCAGTGCTTGGGCCCCTGCACCCATGTGGGAGAACTAGATCGAAGAAGTTCCTGGCTCCTGGCTTTGATCAGCTCAACTCTGGCTGTCATGGCCGTTTGGGGAGTGAACCAGCAAATGGAAGATCTTTCTCTCTGTCTCTACCTCTCTCTGCAACTCTTTCAAGTAAATAAAATAAAGTAAAACTAGGTTAGAAACATAACTTGAAAATATTAATATTTGAAAATTCCAGTCCTTTCCTCCTCAATGTGAGCTGAGAATGGATTCACAGTCCTGAAGAAAGAGGGTGGGCACACAAGCAGTGGTTACCCTGGGCTCCGTTATTAGCATCTGCTGCATCTTCCACGCCAGCATCATCTTCCTCTTCATTGTCTTCCTCCTCCTCTTCGGCCTGATCGTCCTGTGCATCAGGGTTCTCTCCTACCACTGCATTTTCAGCAGGCGGGTTGGCAGGCTGGTCAGCAGCAACATTTTCTGCACCATTTCCTCCTGCTGGAGCCTGTGATGATAGCAAAGTCCAGAAATTTAGCTAACTTGTCTTCATTTTGCTCTAATTCCAAACTGTGCTCTCCCTGCTTGAACACACACACACACACACCACACAGCAAGAAAAAAAAAGAAAAAACTGGCACACATATACAAACCCACCTAAAATTCAAATAGAGGGGGGGCAGTGCTGTGGCGCAGCGGGTTAAGACCCCAGCCTAAAGCGCCGGCATCCCATTTGGGAGCCGGATCAAGTCCCGGCTGCTCCTGTTCCGATCCAGCTCTCTGCTATGGCCTGGGAAAGCAGTGGAAGATGGCCCAAGTCCTTGGGCCCCTGCACCCACATGGGAGACCTGGAAGAGGCTCTTGGTTCCTGGATTCGGACTGGCTCAGCTTTGGCCATTGCGGTCATTTGGGGAGTGAACAAGAAATGGAAGTCCCCCCCACCCCCACCTCGCTCTAGCTCTACTTCTCTCTGTAACTCCTTTGTCTTCCAAAAATAAATAATTCTTGGCCGGCGCAGCAGCTCAATAGGCTAACCCTCCGCCTGCGGTGCTGGCACACCAGGTTTTAGTCCCAGTCAGGGTGCCGGATTCTGTCCCGGTTGCTCCTCTTCCAGTCCAGCTCTCTGCTGTGGCCCGGGAGTGCAGTGGAGGATGGCCCAAGTCCTTGGGCCCTGCACCCGCATAGGAGACCAGAAGCACCTGGCTCCTGGCTTCGGATCAGCACTGTGTGCTGGCCACAGCACGCTGGTCGCAGAGGCCGGGGGGGGGGGGGGGGGGGGGAGTGGGGCGGAGAACTAACAGAAAAGGAAGGCCTTTCTCTCTGTCTCTGTCTCTCTCACTGTCCACTCTGCATGTCAAAAAAAAAAAAATATATATATATATATATATATAATATATAAAAATAAATTCTTGGGGCCAGCGCTGTGGCACAGTGGGTTAACGCCCTGGCCTAAAGCACCAGCATCCCATATGGGCACCGGTTTGAGACCCTGCTGCTCCACTTCCGATCCAGCTCTCTGCTATGGCCTAGGAAAGCAGTAAGAGGATGGCCCAAGTCCTTGGGCCCCTGCATCTGCGTGGGAGACTCGGAGGAAGCTCTTGGCTCCTGGCTTCGGATTGGTATAGTTCCGACCATTATGGCCAATTGGGGAGTGAACCATCGATAGAAGACCTCTCTCTCTCTACATAACTCTGACTTTAAAATAAATAAATATTTTAAAAAAATAAATAAAAATAAATAATTCTTTAAAAAATAAAAAAATTCAAATAGAGAAAGTTTTTCAAAGTCATTTTTTCTGAGTTTATCTTATTTTGGTTCAACTTGGAATGTAAGAGCATAAACTCACTTCATAGTGCAGAGATTCATTTAGCATGAATTAGGGAGGAAGATTTCATAAAGCATTATAAATAAGGATTTATAGATTTGGCTATCTTGAATACATCATTTGGTAATCCTTTTTATTTATTTTTTTATTTAACAGGAAGAGAGAAATAGAACTCTTATCTACTAGTTCACCCCCAAATGCCTGGCCTGGCCAGGCCTAGCCCAGACCAAAGTCAGAAGCTAAGAACTCAATCCAGGTTTTCCACAGGGTAGAAACCCAATTATTTGGGTCATCACTAATGCCTCCAGGGTCTGCATCAGCAGGAAGCTGGAAGTAGGAATCAGAACAAGGAATCTAACTCAGGTACTCAGATGTGGAACACAGACATCCTAGCCACCAGGCTAAATGCTTTGCCCTGACATATTTTCCCTACTAATGATTTGAGAGAGCTGCCACCTACTGTCATTCCCCAAGTGCCCACAACAAGCTGGAAATTGCAACTCCACACAAGGCCTCTCAGAAAATAGAGACCACACTGGTACTCCAATGTGCAGCATGGGTGTCCTAACCAGCATCTTCACTCGTAGGCCAAACACCTGTTGCCTGTAATCCTTTTTTCCAGAGCATGTCATTATTTACTGATTTCAGGGATAAAATAATTTTCCTACAAAAATTTACATATATAAAAATTAATTTTCTGGTAACAGTTAAACATTTCAGGCAACAGTTTCTAATTTCTGCTTTGTAGGTAAGACTATGAAGACACAGACACAATCTGTTCCCAAAAATGCACCCTCCCTTAGCGCCTTAGCTTTGCTATCTATCAAAAGCAAAGACATTGTTGTACTTAAGTGTTAGCAGTTAAGTAAAAGCAACTCTCAGGTTGTTACAGGGGGTGCCAGCATTGTGGCACAGCACATAAAGCTACCGCCTGTGATGTTCCATATGGGCACCAGTTCAAGTACCAGCTACTACACTTCTGATCCAGTTCCCTGTTAATGCAACTGAGAAAAGCAGCAGGAGACAGCCCAAGTGCTTTGATCCCTGCATCCATGCAAAAGACCTGGAAGAAGCTCATGGCTTCAGCCTAGTCCAGCACCGGCCATTACAGCCAACTGGGGAGTGAACCAGCAGATGAAAGATCTGTCTCTTGCTCTCTATATTTCAAATAAATAAAATAAATCTTAAAAACAAACTCTGAAGTACAATGATAAAGTATGAATTCTACAAGAACAGTCTTATTTCTTTATAGTCATCTATCAATGTATGGTTTCAAAGGAGAACTAGCTCTTTGTAGACAAAAAGAAATGGCAGAATTTAATGAACTTGATGTACCCTTGACAAAGGCAGAAGGACCTAAAAAGAAAAACTGTTATTTATCCTTAAGTATTTTAAACTTAAGAAAACATCAAGGGCGGGCCAGCGCCGCGGCTAAACAGGCTAATCCTCCACCTAGCGGCGCCAGCACACCGGGTTCTAGTCCCGGTCGGGGCACCGGATTCTGTCCCAGTTGCCCCTCTTCCAGGCCAGCTCTCTGCTGTGGCCAGGGAGTACAGTGGAGGATGGCCCAAGTGCTTGGGCCCTGCACCCCATGGGAGACCAGGAGAAGCACCTGGCTCCTGACTTCGGATCAGCGCGGGGCGTCGGCCGCAGCGTGCCGGCAGCGGCGGCCATTGAAGGGTGAACCAATGGCTAAAGGAAGACCTTTCTCTCTGTCTCTCTCTCTCTCACTGTCTAACTCTGCCTGTCAAAAAATAAATAAATAAATAAAAATAAAGAAAACATCAAGGAAGTTCCTATCTTCAGATTCCAGTTAAAGAAGTTCACTCAATTAAAGAGACTGAAGAACATTTTAGTACACCCCTAAAACTGCTCTCAGTTGGGCCAGAAAATAACAGGTAAAGTCACAATGGCAATCTTTTGATTTTTGTATCTTTCCTAATTTCTCAAACCTTCCCACTGTCTTCCTTTGTAATAGCAAAATAACATTTATAAGGAACACAGAAGGCAAGGGTTTGATCTTACAGTGACCATATCTTCATATCCTACCCAAGTTAAATCAATCTTGGAAGTAGAGGAGTTACCTCATTTTGGTGGTGCCCAGCAGCATTGAAGGGCGGGGCAGCATGCTCCAACCAAATCGGTGCTCCCCCATGGACTATCTGTTCTCGCAACCACACCAGGCTGATGAACGCACACAGTGTGCACGTCACCACAAAACAACCCTGCAAACAATCCGCCAACAAATTTTCCCTATTAAAAAAGAAATTACAGATAATTACTCCAAAGAACATTTTAAATTAGAAAATCAAAGATAATATTCCTTTTCACACCAAATTCTCAGAAAATAAGCCAAAAAAATCATAATTTTAGGGTAAAAATCAGTTTCTCCAAAGAATTATTTGTGGTAAAAGTCAACCTTATAACTGACCAACATTATAAATATTTTATTACATATACATAATTTATATTTATAATATGCATAAAATAAAATCAGAACTATACAGAAATTAGCTATCCACAGCCTATATTTTGAACATGACCAAGAAAAAGGTAGTGAGCAAAAACGACAAAAGCAGTTAAACACTTGACAAAGGCCAAGTACTAAACTTATGTGATTTATTCAAGGTGAACAACTCTATCCAACATTCACCATTCTTCATCCTTAATTTACATTCAAGTTTAAAAACTTGCCTAATAATACCTAAACTCACATTAGTAGAAACATCAAAATTTCCTCCACAGACGAGACCAATGAAAAAATAAAGCAATGAAGGCTCAGAGATACTCAGCATGCTATGCATAAGACAAAAGCGTACAATTCACTGAAATTTTTTACTTAGAAAGCAAATCAAGTTTTGATGTTAACTGCACACATACCATAATTATATTCATTCTTCAGCAAATCCAGAAAGCACAGAAAAGTTCCTTAGGTAATCATACATGAAAACACAGAATCTCATAATAGTGAAAACCCCTTGTTCTTTTCCTCTCTAAAGAAGCCAATCCCTGGGTCCGGCACCGTGGCTCACTTGGTTAATCCTCCACCTGTGGCGCCGGCAACCCATATGGGTACCGGGTTCTGTCCTGGCTGCTCCTCTTCCAGTCCAGCTCTCTGCTGTGGCCCGGGAGGGCAGTGGAGGATGGCCCAAGTGCTTGGGTGCCTGCACCCGCCTGGGAGACCAGGAGAAACACCTGGCTCCTGGCTTCAGATTGGCATAGCTCCGGCCGTAGCGGCCATTTGAGGGGGTGAAACAACGGAAGGAAGACCTTTCTCTCTCTCAATGTCTAACTCAGTCAAAAAAAAAAAAAAAAAAAAGGCAGCAGCAGCAGCAGCTGCTAATCCTTCCCTTGCCCACATACATGATTTCAGAATATTTAAAGTTTGTGCTGGGAAAATCCACTATTCTACTGGAATGGCTTTTCCTCCAGGGAAAACCTGAGGAAGAGTCAATAGGAAAGTCCTTAGAACAGTAGCTCCAAACTCTAACTGGGCTGGTGTAGCCCCTAAGAAGACACTGTCCGGAACATATCCTAAATCAGAAGAGGAACTGCAGCCATTCTCTTGCTAACCACATCAAACCACCACAATTTTGATGGGTTGGGACTAAAGTATCTCCTCTCTACTGCCTCCTTACCATGAACATTGAGAGTAACTACTGTTACAGATTTTAAAGGATGACAATAATAGAACTGTCTTTCCTTGGCCTTCAGTCTAGGCTGGTTTTGTGAGTTGCTTGCACCAGATGTGACGATGCTGGAGTTCCAGAGCCTAGCAGAAAACTTGCAAGCTCCCATACTCACCCTTTTAGAATGTTACCAAGCCCATGACATAAAGCACCCCTAACTCACTGGCCTTCTGGAAAACAAGAGACCATGAATGACCCAGGTAAGTCCAAAAACTCAGCTGAGCATAGCCCAAACTGCTGTCTTCCAGAATTAGGAGCAAATCAAAAGATGGTTGTTTTAAGCCATTAATTTTTCAGACAGTGTGTTGTAGCAACTGATAATGATACATCCAGAGACAACTCAAAGAACTGACAGAAAAAGACAGTACCACAACAACTGTGTAGACAACAGAATTTAAATATGAGTTATGAGAAATCTATATATGGATTTCAAAATTTTCTGCCCCAAAATAGTCTTTTTACTTGTTGAAGTCCCCTCATAGATAGCAACTGCTAAGATATTAAGGAAATTTAAAGTAAAATTTCAAACATTACTCAGAAAAAAATTAGATCCAAATGCTTTCAGAAATATTGGCTTAGGGGCCAGTGCTGTGGCACAGTGGGTTAATGCCCTGGCCTGAAGCGCCGGCCTCCCATATCGGCACCGGTTCAAAACCTGGCTCCTCTTCGAGTCCAGCTCTCTGCTATGGCCTACGAAAGCAGTACAAGATGGCCCAAGTCCTTGGGCCCCTGCATCCGCATGGGAGACACAGAAGAAGTTCCTGGCTCCTGGCTTTGGGTCAGCACAGCTCTGGCTACTGCGGCCAATTGGGGGGTGAACCATTGGATGGAAGATCGATCTCTCTCTCTCTCTCTCTCTCTCTGCCTTTCCTCTCTCTGTAACTCTTTCAAATAAATAAATAAATCTTTAAAAAAAAAAAAGAAATATTGGCTTAATTCTTCAAATTGTAAAAGGTAGCATATGATTATAAAACAAAGCCATGTCTACAGATTCTGTTAACAATCCCAGCCAGTCATGCAGTCTTCCTTCAGTGCTAACAAGTTCTCTAGTGAAGGCAACTCAGGGGGCCTTCAAATCAGGTGGGTTAAAGACAACAGGGAAGTCTACTCACATAAGGCAAGCAACAACACTTCAAATGAAGATACAGTAAAACAACTACAGTAAGTACATTTTAACATGTGTTATTAATCTCAGGAGATGCCTTAAAAATAAATGAGTTCAAATGTGTATGTTAAAACTTGGAGCCAGCACTGTGGCGTAGTAGGTTAGGCCTCAGCCTGCAGCACCAACATCCCATGAGCACCAGTTCAAGTTCAGACTGCTCTACTTCTGATCCAGCTCCTTACTGATGGCTTGGGAAGGCAGTGGAAGATGGCCCAGGTGCTAGGACCCCTAAACACACGTGGGAGACCTGGAAGAAGTGCCTGGCTCCTGGCTTCAGATTGGCCCAGCTCCAACCATTGTGGCCATTTGGGGAGTGAATCAGCAGATGGAAGACCTCCCTCTCTGCCTGTCTGTAACTCTCAAATAAATAAAACCTTAAAAAAAAAAAAAAAAACCTCATGTTCCAATGAACTCTCAACATATGAACATGACAGATTATTTAAAAAAAAAAAAAGATTTTATTTATTTGAAAGTCAGAGTTATACAAAGAGAGAACGAGAGAGACAGAGAGAGAGAGGTCTTCCATCTGCTGGTTCACCCTCCAGTTGGCTGCAATGGCCAGAGCTGTGCTGATCTGAAGCCAGGAGCCAGGAGCTTCTTCCGGGTATCCCATGTAGGTGCCAAGGGTCCAAGGACTTGAGCCATCTTCTACTGCTTTCTCAGGCCATAGCAGAGAGCTGGGTCGGAAATGGAGTAGCCGGGACTCGAACCGGTGCCCATATGGAATGCCAGCACTGCAGGTGGTGGCTTTACCCACTACACCACAGCGCCGGCCCCAACAGATTATTTTCAATGCGTAACAGTCCATTCATCAAGTCATTCCACCATTACAATAAAGTCATTTAAAATGGGTATGTTTTGGGGCCAGCACTATGACACAGGTTAAAAGCCCTGGCCTGAAGCACCGGCCTCCCACATGGATGCCTATTCAAGTTCCTCTTCTGATCTCTTCTGTTCCTCTTCTGATCATTCTCCCTGCTAATATGCCTGGAAAAGCAGCAGAGAATGGCCCAAGTCCTTTGGCCCCTGCACCCTCGTGGGAGACCCAGGAGTTGTTCCTGGCTCCTCTGGCTCCAATCACCTCAGCTCCGGCCACTGTAGCCATTTCGGGAGTGAACCAGTAATGGAAGACCTCTGTCTCTACCTCTCTGTCATTCCTTCAAATTAAAAAAAATAAATCTTGCCGGCAACGCGGCTCAATAGGCTAATCCTCCGCCTAGCAGCGCCGGCACACCAGGTTCTAGTCCCAGTCGGAGCGTCGGATTCTGTCCCCGTCGCTCCTCTCCCAGTGCAGCTCTCTGCTATGGCCTGGGAGTGCCGTGGAGGATGGCCCAAGTGCTTGGGCCCTGCACCCCATGGGAGACCAGGAGAAGCACCTGGCTCCTGGCTTCGGATCAGCGCGGTGCGCACCGGCCGCAGCGGCCATTGAGGAGTGAACCAACGGAAAAAGGAAGACCTTCCTCTCTGTCTCTCTCTCATTGTCCACTCTGCCTGTCAATAAATAAATAAATAAATAAATAAATCTTTAAAAAGAATAGTAATAAAATAAAATGGGCATGTTTTAAAAGAAACATTGGTTATATGTAATCTGAGCTACTTCTACTATAGCTGTAACTGCTAAAAGGCGTGAATTTTATGCTCTTAACAGAATTTTCAGACTGTAACAAAAATAAAGACAAATATCTGAAGAAAAAACAGTATCATCCCCCACCACACAACCTTCCATACTCACGTCGACAGCATGTCTAGCGGCAGTGTCAGCAGTGAGCTCACGGAGCCAGTGAACAAGCACTTGTAGATGCGGCCTACCAAAAAAGGGCGTGATGGCACAGTCACAACTCACATCAGAAACTCACACAGTTTAAAATGGAATGCTGTCATCATGTTTAAGTCTTTGTAGGACCAAGTCTCAAATTTTTAAGAACACAGGCTAGCATAAAATAGTGACTGAAAAACAGATGCTCCTCAATAATGTTTAATGTCCAGATTTTCTCAAGGTCTACTAGCTTGTCTGTATAAAATGAGCTTAGTGTCTGAAAAGGAAAAAATCTAAAATGAACAACTCCAAAATCAAATATAGTGAATTTTTTTAATCCAGAATTCTCAAATTTGTAAATTCCACTCATAAAAATACAGAGGAGCTCCTATCTACTGGTTTATTCCTTAAACGCCAGCGGTGGTCTTTCACATGGGGCAAGAACCCAATTATCTAGCTATTATCACTGTCTCCCAGGTTCTCTATCAGCAGGAAGCTAGAATCAGATGCCAGAGCCAGGGATCAAACTTGGGTACTCTGATGCAGACCTGGGTGTCCTAATCAGCATCTAACCCACGACAAATACCCACCCTCTGACAACCAATTTTTAAAAATCACAAATTCAGGGGTCTTCAAGCAGCTATCTTAAATTCTGGCCATGAAGAGAAAATATGAAGTATGGGGTAAATTCACTGCCATTCTCTTATCCTCTCAGTTAGAAAGGAAGAATGTCTGTTCAGTCAAAAAGGCAGAATTCTAAACAGAATGAGATAACAGACAACAGATTTGGAAATGGGCCCCAAGAGGAAAAAGTTGAGTCATTCTTTCAAATCAGTACTAGTGTATTAGTTTAACAACTCTCTGTAGTGTTACATCAGAAATGTACAGTGACTTCAATGCTGTTTTCAAAGGCCAAGTTAAAATGGAAACGTAGAAAAACATTTTCTGTAACTTACATATAAAAAACTCAAAGCCAGAATGCTTTTAACAAAGTAAAACTGACAAACCAAATGTCAGCAGACAGAAAAATAGGTTCATGAATGATAGGCCTTCTTACTACAGACTACTCTGCACACACTAAACCAGTAAGATGTTTAGATGGAAAAACAGCCAAGGTACCCTGCTAAGTAAAAAGGAAAGGTTATCAGTGCTGGCACTGTGGCATAGCAGGTAAAGCTGCCAATTGCAACATCAGCATCCTACTAGGACACTGGTTTGTGTCCGGTTGCTCCATTTCCTACTGAGCTCCCTGCTAATGGCCTAGGAAAAGCAGCTGAAGACAGTTCAAGTGTTTACCCCTGCAACCCACGTGGGACACTGGACAAAGCTCCTGGCTCTGGCTTTAGCCAGGCCCAGCGATGGCCACTGCAGCCATCTGAGGAGTGAACCAGCAGATGCAGATCTCTCTCTCTAATTCTTTCAAATAAATCTTTAAAACAAAACAAACAATAGCAACAACAAAAGTAAATGGCACCAAATATGCATATGGACTCTGTGGCATTTAAATTATGTGTGTATATACACAAGTTAGAAGAGATCGAATTTGTTATCTGTTACTTTTATCTTCTACATCCTTACATGTGCCTGACTACCTGATTTACTGATTTCAGAGATGCCTATTAATCTTCCACTTTGACTGTCAATGCTTTATATATTTCAAGGCTCCATTTCCTGGTGTATAAAAGTTCTTCGGGGGCCGGCGCTGTGGTGTAGTGGGTAAAGTCACTGCCTGCAGCACCAGTATCCCACATGGGTGTCAGTTATAGAGTCCCAGGTGCTCCACTTCTGATACAGCTCCCTGCTAATGGCCTGGGAAGGCAGCGTAAGATGGCCCAAGTCCCTGGGCCCCTGCACCCACATGTGAGATTGGGAAGCTCCCGGTTCTTGGCTTCAGCCTGGCCCAGTTCCAGAAATTGCAGCCATCTGGGGAGTAAACCAGAGCATAGAAGATCTCTCTCTCCCTCTGTCTCCGTTCTCTCTCTCTAACTCTGCCTTTCAAATAAATAAACAAATCTTAAAAAAAAAAAAAAAGAGGGTTGGACAGTGGACCCATCTCTCAAGTTTCCCATACCTGAAAGATAAGCCATTAGATACCTGAGTATGTCTGAAAGGGGTGGGAGTGATCCCAAAAGAATCCATATTCTGAACTTCTTGAAAATTCTAATGTACTTCAAGGAATAAAAATCTGAGTTCTAAATATGGTCTGATGTACTTTTTCAATTCTTTCAAGAACTTTCCTATTCTCTGTATACTCTATTTTTTCTTTCCCACACTCACTCAAGAAAAAAAAAACTATTTAAAAACTCAGTTCTGGGGCCACGCTGTGGCCCGGCAGGTTAACGCCCTGGCCTGAGGTGCCAGCATCTCATATGGGCACCCATTCTAGTCCCGGTTGCTCCTCTTCCAATCCAGCTCTCTGCTATGGCCTGGGAAAGCAGTGGAAGATGGCCCAAGTCCTTGGACCCCCTGCACCCCCATGGAGACCTGGAGGAAGCTCCTGGCTCCTGGCTTCGGATCGGCACAGCTCCGGCTGCTGCGGCCAGTTGGGGAGTGAACCATCGGATGGAAGACTGACCTCTCTCTCTGCCTCTCCTCCCTCTGTGTAAATCTTTCAAATAAATTTTAAAAACTTTAAAAAACAAACAACAAAACTCAGCTCATGGGGCCGGCGCTGTGCTGTAGCAGGTAAAGCCGCTGCCTACAGTGCCAGCATACCACATGGGTGCCAGTTGGACTCTCAGCTGCTCTACCTCTGATCCAGTTCTCTGGTATGGTCTGGGAAAGAAGTGGAAGATGGCCCAAATCCTTGGGCGCCTGCACCCGTGTGGGAGACACAGAAGCTCCCAGCTTTGTACTGGCCCAACTTAGGCCATTGTGGACACCTGTGGAGTGAACCAGCTGACAGAAGACCTCTCTTTCTCTCTGCCTCTGCCTCTCTGTGACTCTGCCTTACAAATAAATAAATAAAATCTTTAAAAAAATGTATTTCATTTGCTGCAACAGAAAAAGTACATTTTTGAGGATATGTATAAACCTCAAAAAAAAAATAAACTCAGTTCACAGGAATGTTTTCTAACTTAAGCATTCCTAATAAATGACATTATAGCATCAAATAATTGAACATTCAAACAACAATATATTACTACTTTATAATAGATAAAAATATGTAAGTAACTCCAACCAGATGTACCAATACTCACATGCTGTAAGAGGAACAACTCCCAACCATGCAAAGGCCACAAGTGTATAATGAAACCAGTATCGTATTGCAGTGCCAATACTTGTAACCAGTCCAGCAAATATGTCTTGGATTGGAAGCCGTGAAGGCATATCTGGGGAATAAACTACAAAAGGGAAAAAGTACATAAAGTTTCATGAAAAAATTTAAATGGCTTAATTCATAAATATAAATTAGACGTGTAGAACTATATTAACTTTCAATATCTGTATTATCCTTAAGCTTTTTTCCTATTAAAAAAAGTGAATCAAATAGTTACAATAATACCCCATTTTTCTAAGAAGTCATTTATGAGGCAAATCACATGTAAGATGCAGAAATCAACAAAAAGGGGCTCCGGGCAGCAAAAGATTCATTAGAAGTTCATTTCCCGGCCAGCGCCGAGGCTCACTAGGTTAATCCTCCACCTTGCGGTGCCGGCACACCGGGTTCTAGTCCCAGTCAGGGCACTGGATTCTGTCCTGGTTGCCCCTCTTCCAGGCCAGCTCTCTGCTGTGGCCTGGGAGGGCAGTGGAGGATGGCCCAAGTGCTTGGGCCCTGCACCCCATGGGAGACCAGGAGAAGTACCTGGCTCCTGCCATCAGATCAGCGCAGTGCGCTGGCGCAGCAGCCATTGGAGGGTGAACCAACGGCAAAAGGAAGACCTTTCTCTCTGTCTCTCTCTCTCTCTCTCACTGTCCACTCTGCCTGTCAAAAAAAAAAAAAAAAGTTCATTTCCCTCATTCAGTCATGAATCTCACATAATGTTAATTTACATGTACTTTAGCATTCAAATATTCTAATTATTTAGGTTCCCAAACTAAAAAAGATCAGAAGGTGGAATCAATTATATGTCATCATCTCATAAATTGTAAGCATTAGACAGAACACTCAAAAAGCACAGAGATCTGCACCACAGCCATTTCATGTGACAGCAAACAGCCCAACCATGCCCTCCCAAACTTAACATAGTACTTGAATTTCCACATGATAAATTTCCACTTCTCTGCAACATGTAGTTCAACACACTCAGAAAAAGATTCTCGGCCATATTTTATGAAGATTTCCTTTTCAATTATTTTCAATAAAAACCACTGCTTATTAAAAATGTTATGCATTGCATAAAACTGAGAAATAAACTCCAGGACAAACAACTCTTTCTCCAAAGAGGCGAAAGCAAGGAGTTCTAATACATAAGATTTTCAAGATTGACGTTCTAAGATGTTTAAAAGCACTACCACAAACTGACACCTACAAGCATTCAGGAGCAGACAATTAACAAAAGGCATCTTTTAACAGCACACCCACACAGACCACTGACTTCAACAGAACACTTGCTACCCAAGAGCAAGTCAGTAACCATTAATAATTTTCTTGAGAAAGATAAAGGAAACAGAGCACATGACCGTGCAATGAAAACTAAAATGTATAAAATATGTTTATTGGCCTCAAAGTGAAAGCCCACATGACTATTTCAAACTTCATGAAAACATTCAACTAGTCTTTCATTTGTTATACATCTTAACAAGTCAGAGCACTTTTATGCACTACAGAAAAGGAAAAACTACAAAGTAATAGAACTAATATTTTTTGATGTTTTGACTGTAAATCTCCAAAACTGACAATGCATTCACTTTAACCATTTCCACTCTTCAAATAAAAACAAAATAAAACTAACACTCTTACTGCATTATACTTAGTAGCTCTGGTTTTTTTATTTTTTTTAAAAAACTCAAAAAACTAAAGCACCAAACAACCTGTGATAGGAATCACAAAATGAAAAATACTTCAAATTATTACTACGCCATTATAATCCTCTAATATTTTGGGGTAAATATTAAACATTAACAGGTGTAAGAATTATTGAAATTTTAAAGACCTGAAAAATATCAAGCACTTACAAATACTAGCAGATAGAATATCTTTCTCTTTGTCTCTTCCTCTTTCTGTCTGTAACTCTACCTCTCAAATAAATAAAATCTTAAAGAGAGACACACACACACACACACACACACACAAGAGACCCTAAATCTGTACCAGAATTGGATGAAGTCATTTCTCCAGACTTTCCTGACACTTTCTTTGAGGAAGGAGAAACTGGAAATTAACCCCAACTTATAGATTAGAGCATCACAGTAAGAAGACAGAGAGAGAGAGAGAGAGAGAGAGAGAGAGAGAGAGAGAGAGAGAGAGAATGCCAGGGGCTGGGACAGGTCCAAGCCAGCCAGGAACCCCAATGTGGGTAGGAGGTCCCAAGTGCTTGGGCCATCACTGATGCTTCCCTGGGCATGTTAGAAGGAAGCTCAGCAGGAAGCTGGATTGGAAGTAGAGCAGCCAGGACTCCAACTGGCACACCCACATGGCATGCCAATGCTGTAGGAGGTAGATTAACCAGCTGCACCATAATGTCTCGATACAGTATTTTTTAAAGGTGAGAAAAACAAAAAAGATGGAAAAGTTGGTAAAGAAAGCACAGGTAAAAAAATAAAGAGTATCCCATGAGCTGAAAAATGGGCAACAGGGCTGGCGCTGTGGCATAGTAGGTTAGGTCTCCACCTGTGGCACTGGCATCCCATATGTGCACCAGTTCAAGTCCCAGCTGCTCCACTTGACACAGCTCCCTGCTAATGGCCTGGGAAAGCAGTGGAGGATGGCCCAAGTGCCTGGGCCCCTGCACCCACATGGGAGACCCAAAAGAAGCTCTTGGTTCTTGGCTTCAGATCAGCCCAGCTCTGGCCATTGCAGCCATTTGGGAAGTGAACCAGCAGATAGAAGACCTCTCTCTCTGTCTCTCTCTCTCTCTGTAACTCTGCCTCTCAAATAAATGAATTAATTAATTGAAATCTTTTTTTAAAAAAGTGATGGAGAAATGTGGATATATATATACACATATATATATATACCTCTGTCTATAATTAAAAGCTTTTTTTTAAAAAAAAGGGGGGGTGGCGAATAGTACCTACAAAATATATGATATGTTAAAAGATGACAAGTTTCTAAAAATATTTTCCTACATAGAATTGCAATATTTTCTATTATCAAAAAATAATGAAGTTGAAAACAGTTCACAGTTGCTTTAAATCAATAAATACCTTAAAGCTTCCAGTAATACCACCCCCCTACACACAAAAAAAGTGAAAATTTCTAAAGAACTTACTTGGTGTGAAAGCAAATCTGTGCTTGCATAATTCACAGTATTCTTTTCGACTGTGTTTCAGCCACTGAACTAAGCTGTAATTACAAAGACACTAATAAATACGGTTTACAAACTAGAAACATTAAAGTTTCACTGAAAACTAGTGTTCTGCTTGCATTAAAACTCTATGTATCATAGAACTTTTACAATTTTGACAATTCCAAATAAATTGAGTATTAACTTTTTATAACTCCCTTCTCAAAGTACTGAACTACAATAGCTAAAGATAAAACAGTATATTAACATATCAAAAACAGTAACAATATTATTAAAAAGGGCCAATTAATCTAAATTGTAATTCTTCAAATTAAATGAGTATGAAAAAATCTCCAAGTAGCCACATCAATTCTAACAACAGTGATCCAATAATAGTGGTACTTCAGTTAGGTCTGAATCCTGATTCTTCCACTAACTGGCTGGTTGGAGCTGAGAAGTTATTAACCTTTCTAGGCCTCAATTTTCTCATCTGCATAATAATATTCCACATTTTTCTTGTAAAAATTAGATTAGTTGTTAAAGTGCTGAGGGGGCTGGCGCTGTGGCGCAGCGGGTTAACACCCTGGCCTGAAGTGCCAGCATCCCATATGGGCACTGGTTCAAGACCCAGCTGCTCCACTTCCGATCCAGCTCTCTGCTATGGCCTGGGAAAGCGGTAGAAGGTGGCCCAAGTGCTTGGGCCTCTTCACCTCCCTGCGTCAGACCCACGTGGGCGATCCGAAGGAAGCTCCTGGCTCCGGACCAGTGCAGCTCTGGCTGCTGCAGCCAATTGGGAAGTGAACCATCGAATGGAAGACCTCTCTCTCTGCCTCTCCTCTCTCTGTGTAACTCTTTAAATAAATAAAAAGTGCTGAGGAACACTTGAGACAAACCAGCTCATAAATGTAAGCCATAATTATGCCAAACAAAACTAGAAAAGGAAAAAACTCTCAATGGACAAAATAAGCTCTCCACAGTAGAAATAACAAGAGTATTCATGTACACCTAGATCAACCAAAATAAAAGGCATGGTATTAAGAACTATGAATAATTCCTTTTCCAATCTTTCAAACTGTCTGGAATTTTAACAAATACTAATTAAAGACAAAGTTCATTAACGTGATCACTCTAACTACGCAAATGACAGAAGTTATAAATGGGCAAAATTCAGTTATAAAATTTTCTAAAAGTATAACTTACCACTCTTGATGGATAAATTTAATACTGCCAGTACATACACAAGGATGATAAAGAGGTTTCTCGGGTGTTCCTTCCGACCGACATACTCTACATATGTCTGTTAATGGAAAAGAAAAACTGAATGACCTTTGGTTATAAGTTGTTAAAACAAGAAAAGACCACCAGAAACTAAAATATTTTATATTAAAGCAAGAATATATCACTTGGCAACTGAAAATTAAGATACAGATGATAGTCAAGCATGTATGTGAAATCTTAAAATTTCCATTAAAATGTATTTGAAAGGTTATTCTTATGTTGGAGGGCTCTGTAAATAAAACAAAGTTGATAATAACAAAAACTTTATTTAAAACCACATTCCCATGTAAACACTAAACAGAAGCATGCAAAATCAGGACACCATTAGTGTCCTACCAGTCTCAAACTTCAGTTCTATCAGTTTACTTTCCTAATTAAATCCAGTTCTAACTCCACAAGAACACATCTGAGGACTGAACATGGTAAGAGCAGGGTGGCAGGCACAGGAGACGCCCCCCCCCTTGAAGGCACCGCACCCCACAAGAACTAGAGATAGGAAATCTGTGAGGAGGGCAGGGCGCAACCCAAGACCACAAAAACAGAAGTGAGCCAGAGCTCTCTTAGGCAGAAATGATGGTAGCCTAGGGCTGAAGAGGCTGGTATGCTGAAGAGGCTGCTGGTCCTCGCCACCAGCAACTAAGCAGTTCCAAAGACCCCTGTCTGTCCTCCCACTGGGGTTGAGCAGCATCACAGCACCAAGGAGGAACCATGACCCATCCTTCTTGCTCACTAGCTCCTTAAAGCTCCTAGTTCACGTTCTAGGAAACCTGGTTACAACTGTTGTTTAAACCATCTTCTTGGTTACTCATCAGGGCCAAGTGCCAACTGGGGGGGGGGGGGGGGCGACAGGGCATATTCACAAGGGATGGAGACTTAAACACTATTGACCTGTTCTCTTAGAGGATTAACAGTAATCTTGATCCCCATCACTAATGGATTTTAGCAGGTCTGGCCTATGGGATCAGGAGCCCAGAAGCCCCTTAATGCATGGTCCTGAACACTTAAACTCACCACAGGCTTGGGACTGCTCCTCATTAGGTGATTGGATGACAAACTATGAAAGCTGAGGGACACCATGAGCGCAGGGTCACCTAACTAAGCATGTTAATATCTCCAGTTACCAATTAACCAGACTAATCTCTACTGACAAGATGTCCTGCACTCACATTCCTGTCTGCAAGAGGGGCCAGAGGAGACTGTCCACTTTGAGTCCAAGTAAGTGTGGACCCCACTGCTGATGCAATTCAGTTTCAGCTTCAGAAGGAGACATTCTCCACACCACCACTCAAAGGACTTCAGCTCCGGAAAGCCCCTGATAGGAATCCCAGGCACAACACTGTGGTCAGATTACCATCTCTATCGCCCAGGGTCAAAATCAAGGGGACCTGAACCTTTTTAAACTCCCATTTTTACTTTTGTCTTTGATTCATTAAAACACCCTTGGTGAGGCCAGTGCTGTGGCATAGAAAGTAAAACCAACTGCAACACCAGCATCCCATGTGGGCACTGATTGAGTCCTGGCTGCACCACTTCAGATCCAGCTCCCTGCACCCATGTGGCAGACAGCAGAAGTTCTTAGCTCCTGGCTTTGGCCCGGCCCAGCCCCGTCCATTGTGGCTAACTAAAGAGTGAACCAGCAGATGGAAGATTCTCTCCCCCTGCCCCCATAACTCTGTCTTTCAAATAAATAAATCCTTGGCAAAACCTTTCCCTGGTCAGTCTTACACAGGTAAAAGATTGAAACTTTAATCTACCAACACCAACAAAACAGAACTATACTCATTCCGCAAGGCTCTCTACTTTCCTCAAACTCTATACTTCCGCCCCAAGGAACCTCAGCTGAGGGCACTGAAAGGCAGGGATTGGGGTCTTCCTCATGGTAGAGTGCTGGGGCATGCAATGTGGCACCGCAGGTTAAGCTGCTGCTTGGGACGCCAGCATTTCCTATCAGTGTCTGGGTGCAAGCGCCACCCTAACACATCTAGGAGGCAGCAGAGGAGAGTCAAATACTTGAGTTCCTGCCACCCATGCGGAAGACCCAGAAGAAGCTCCTGGCTTCTGGTTGCACCTGGCTCTCATCTGGCTGTTGGAGGCATCTGGGCAGTGAAGCAGGAGATGGAAACTCGCTCTCTCTTCCCTCACCTCCCTCTCTATGTCACTCTGCTTTCCAAAAAAAAAATTTTTTTAAAGGTGCCTGAGACCCAAGTACTAGCATTTTTTTCTTTTTTAAGATTTGTTTATTTAAAAGTCAGAATGACACAGAGAGGAAGAGACACAGAGAGAGATCTTCCATCTGCTGGTTCACTCCTCAAATGGCCATAATGGCCAGAGCTGAGCTGATCTAAAGCCAGGAAGCAGGAGCTTCCCACATGGGGCGGGGGCGGGGTCAGGGGCCCAAGCACTTAGACCATCTTCTGCCGCTTTCCCAGCGCATCATCAGGGAGCTGGATCACAAGTGAAACAGCCGGTTCTCAAACTGGCGTCCATATGGGATGCTGGCGTTGCAGACGGTAGCTTAAGCCCTATACCACAACACCAGCCTTGGTACCAGTGTTTTAACTGTAGCAAATTCAGTAGATGGCATTGAAGCTGAGACTGCAGCTTGCCTGCAATGGGGCCTCCTCAAAGCATTTAAGGCAGACTCATCTGGGGCTGGGACTGTGGCATAGCAGGTAAAACCACCAACATCCCATATGGGCAACATCCAGTCCATGTAACATAGAGATGATGTTTCTACTTTCATTGTCCATTTACATGGTGTTTTCTAGAGACTACATGAAACAACAAATTGAATGCAGTCAAGACTGAAAAAGTTTCAGCTGCCTCCCATTCATTAATCCAGGTATTTAAGAGATTTGTAAATATACAACAAACCCAATCATCTCACCAATTTGGAAGGTTTAGAATATAGTTATTTTCAGCCGGCGCTGCAGCTCACTAGGCTAATCCTCCGCCTGCGGTGCCAGCACACCAGGTTCTAGTCCTGTTTGCTCCTCTTCCAGTTCAGCTCTCTGCTGTGGCCTGGGAAGGCAGTGGACGATGGCCCAAGTGCTTGGGCCCTGTACTCACATGGGAGACCAGGAGGAAGCACCTGGCTCCTGGCTTCAGATCGGTGCAGTGCCGGCCGTAGCGGCCATCTGGAGGGTGAACCAACGAAAAGGAAGACCTTTCTCTCTGTCTCTAACTCTGTCTCAAAAAATTTAAAAAGAATATAGTTATTTTCATGAAAATTACTTCTATTAACACATAGTGGATGTACATTATTTATAAATGAATTAGGAAGTACTTCTAAAATTTTTTTGCTTTATCTTCTAATATGGTAAAGAAAAGTTCTGAAACTTGGCTTTTTCTTCGAAGACTTTATTTTTCAAGAGTGTAAAGGGAGGGGCTAGTGTTGTGGCGTAGTGGGTTAAAGCCCTGGACTGCAGCGCCAGCATCCCATACAGGTGCCAGTTCGAGTCCCAGCTGTTCCACTTCCAATCCAGCTCTCTGCTAATGTGCCTAGGAAAAAAACGAGGGATGGCCCAAACCCTTGGGCCCCTGCACCCACATGGGAGGCCCAGAAAAAGCCCCTGGCTCCTGGCTTCAGATAGGCTCAGCTTCAGCCGTTGCAGCCATTTGGGGAGTGAACCAGTGGATGAAAGACTTCTCTATGTCTCTGTAACTTTTTCAAATAAATAAATCTTTAAAAAAAAAAGTGTCAAGAGACTTTGAGACAACAGAAGTTGAAACCACTGCTCTAACGTGGACTTCTGACTCCTGGAAATTTGGAGAAAATAAATAAATAAATAAATAAATAAAAGCAACGGTTCTTCCAAAATATGCTTTCATAAAATGTTCATTATTTTATCATAAGCTTCCTGATCTTCACTGTTCTCAAAGAGGATAGGGAATTAAACATTAAACCTGTGAATCGTCTTATTTTACAACTATGAAAATCACCTAATTATCAAACAAAATTATGGGGGCCAGTGCTGTGGCACAGTGGACTAAGCCTTCACCTGCAGCACCAGCATTCTGGCTGCTCCTTTTCTGATCCAGCTCCCTGCTATGGCCTGGAAAAGCAGTAGAGGACGGCCCAAGTCCTTGGGCCCCTACACCCACGTGGGAGACCCGAAGAAGCTCCTGGTTTCAGATCGTCCCAGCTCTGGCTGTTGTGGTCATTTGGGGAGTGAACCAGCAGGTGGAAGAACTTTCTCTCTGTCCTGCCCTCTCACTGTCTGTGACTCTACCTCTCAAATAAATAAATATTTAAAACAAAAAGTATGACAAAATGAAAAGTAACGCCTAAACCCAAAACAAAAACAATATTTATCATGTACACACATAACATGCTTAACCACCGAGAGGAATTAAGAAACCTCAAAAACATCACTTAAATCATATATTCCCAGTTCTCTATATCCTAAGACATAAGGAACTGCCAGCAAACCTAAACAAAATCGAGCAATCATGTTAATAGGAATAATACTGATGGCTGGCACCACGGCTCACTAGGCTAATCTTCCGCCTGCGGCGCTGGCACTCAGGTTCTAGTCCCGGTTGGGGCGTAGGTTCTGTCCTGGTTGCTCCTCTTCCAGTCCAGCTCTCTACTGTGGCCCAGGAGGGCAGTGGAGGATGGCCCAACTGCTTGGGCCCTGCACCTGCACGGGAGACCAGGAGGAGGCACCTGGCTCCTGGCTTTGGAGCAGCACAGTGTGCCGGCCGCAGCGGCCATTTGAGGGGTGAACCAACGGAAGGAAGACCTTTCTGTCGCTCTCTCTGTCTAACTCTCCCTGTCAAACAAAAAAAAAAGGAATAATACTGAGCCTTTTTAACACTTGTAGGATAAAGTCAGCAAGAAAATTTAGCACAAGATTCATAAACACACAAAATCTGAAAACTCATGGTAGCAATATTTTCATTTCACTGGCCACAGTTTAAAAATGCCCTGGATATACTTGTATCTTCATCAGAAAAAAGGAGGACAAGAAATAATAGGTCTCAACATTCCTAAAAGCCTATTTCTAGGCAACCAACAACCTAATTCTACTTTAAAACCATTTATTATTATTCTACACAAATCTGGCCCAAGAAGCAAAACTACAAATCTACTTTGCAGAACTGACTCTGCCTGCATTTTCCCACACAATGAAATGTTTATATGTGTCTCATTCAGGAGCACCCTAAATGGAAAGGCAAACACTGCTGGAGTAAAGCCTCACAGAAAGGCAACAAGCCCTACTGAAAATACTTATACAGCAAAAAACTGTTTTCTCAGATCCAGCCAGCCTGCCCTGCTTAGACTTAAATGGGCATAGGCACCTTATTAGGGAACTAGAGGCCAAGGAAAAGCTGCCAGAGACTCCCTACACCTGCTCTCTGTTCTCCACATATTGTTGTAGCCTTAGTTAATCCATCAGTGTGGAGTGGAGGAACCCTGCCATTCATGATCCAACAGAAAAACCCGCAACAAGGTAAACAATTCAGGGCTAAACACTTCTTTGGGAAGGATACGTAAGAAATTGTTCATCTTAGCTGGATCAGGAGTACAGGAAAGTAGTTCTTTCCCCCTTTGTTATGTGTATACAGTTAATTACACATATTTGTGTAGTGTTTTCCTGGTATCTTGTTTCTTACATCAATAATTTCCCATATAAATGTTCAAAGACATACAACAGAATGTTCATAGCAGCACTACTCTTATACATGAAAAACAGAAACTACCCAAATTATCAACAGTAAATCAGGTAAACTTCAGTACATTCACACAATGAAACACTATATTGGCCATGAAAGTAAACCAGCTGAAACTACAAACCACAATATGGATTTATCTCACAAAGCTGATCCTGAGTAAAGAACCCAGATTTAAAGAGTACCTACTAAAAATTCCAATATAATCAGTTCAAAAACATAAAATGCAACATCCATCATTACAATTCAGGATAAGAGTCGCAGGGGTGGGGAGGGGCGGTGCTGTGGCGCAGCGGGTTAACGCCCTGGCCTGAAGCACCGGCATCCCTTATGGGGGCCGGTTTGAGTCCTGGCTGCTCCACTTCCAACCCAGCTCTCTGGTATGGCCTAGGAAAGCAGCAGTAGAAGATGGCCCAAGTCCTCGGGCCCCTACACCCGTGTGGGAGACCCGGAAGAAGCTCCTGGCTCTTGGCTTCAGATCGGTGCAGCTCTGGCCATTGCAGTCAATTGGGGAGTGAACCACCAGACAGAAGACCTCTCTGCCTCTCCTCTCTCTGTGTAACTCTTTCAAATAAATAAATCTTAAAAAAAAAAAAAAAGAGTCCCTTTGGGGAAGACCAAAAGGGAACTTAAGGTTTCAGACCAAGATGGAATAGATGCACTTCTCCATTTCCTTCCTGTCAAGTAGCACAGTTTAAAACTCAGAACAGGGGCTGGTGCTGTGGTGTAGTGGGTAAAGCCGCCGCCTGCAGTGCAGGCATCCCATATGGGTGCCGGTTTAAGTCCTGATCCAGCTATCTGGTATGGCCTGGGAAAGCAGCAGAAGATGGCCCAAGTCCTTGGGCCCCTGCACCCACATGGGAGACCCCAAGGGAAGCTCCTGGCTCCTGGCTTCACATCAGCCCAGCTTCAGCCATTGCAGCCATTTGGGAAGTAACCAATGGATCAAAGATCTCTCTCTCTCTCTCTCTCTCTCTGCCTTTCAAATAAATAAATAAATCTTTAAAAAAAAAAAAAAACACCCCAGGACATTATATTTAAGCAAACATAGGAATACTCTGTATGTGAGGAGAGACAAGTTATGGTGCACAAGACCAGAGGAATCACAGGGCAGTGAGATCTTTGGGTTTTTGTTTTGCATCATACTCACATAACCAAGAATCATGGCAGAAGTGGAGAAGTTGCAACCCAGAAACACCAATGAGGACAAAAACTCCCCCAAAAAGCCTGCTCTTCTAGCTAAGGACCAGGAAAGCAGTAACCTAGCAACATAGAAAACTTTTAGACAAATGCCACTTTATACCAGCCAAATGCCACAGGGAAAGAGGCAGCCCTAACCCTACCTGTCAGCCTAGGCCAAGTGAAGAGTTCTAGACCTCAACCACCAGTTATTTAACAAGTACCCATCCCTCTTGTGCCAGGACAGCACCAGAGAAGACCAACTGAGGATCCAAACTTTCACGCTCAGTGGCAGGAATGAGGCAACCGTTTCCAGCTTGCTGGTAATCAGTGGAGGCCAGCAAGGGTCCTGAAGCTTTACCTCAGATGAGCACAAGGCATCCACCCTATCACCAAATATCAAGTGGAGCAAGTGCACTTTCACCCTCAACTGAGAGTAATAAGGCAGTGTCCCTTTCCCCCACCAGCATGGTGTTAGAGGGGACCTGCTTAAAAAAAATCTAAACACGTCAATAAATGCCAGAGCCTTCTAACAACCAAAATGTCCATGATACAACTGAAAATCACTCATGTTACCAAGAATCAGTAAAATATCAACTTGAATGAGAAAGCAATCAACAGATGCCAACAATGAGCTGCCACAGATGTTGGAATTATCTGAGAAGGATTTTAAAGTAACCATTATAAAAGTTTCAATGAGCAATTACAAACATTTATGAAAGAAATAAACTAATAAAAAGTTGAAGCAAAGAAACAGAACAAATGAAAAACCAACAAGAAATTCTAGCACTTAAAACTACAATAAGTAAAAATGTTTTTAAAAGTTTCAGGGGCCAATGCTGTGGTACAGTGGGTTAATAAAGCCTCAGCCTGAAGCGCTGGCATCCCATATGAGCGCCAGTTCTAGTCCCGGCTGCTCCTCTTGCAATCCCGCTCTCTGCTATGGCCTGGGAAAGATCTTGGGCCCCTGCACCCACATGGGAGCTCCTGGCTCCTGACTGGATCAGTTCAGCTCTGGCCATTATGGCCATTTGGGGAGTGAACCAGCAGAATGGAAGACCTCTCCCTCTCTCTCTGGCTCTACCTCTCTAACTCCGTCTTTCAAATAAATAAAATAATTTTTTTTTTTTTTTTTTGGACAAGCAGAGTGGACAGTGAGAGAGAGAGAGAAAGGTCTTCCTTTTCTGTTGGTTCACCCTCCAATGGCAGCTGCGGCTGGCGCACCACGCTGATCCGAAGCCAGGAGCCAGGTGCTTCTCCTGGTCTCCCATGGGCAGGGCCCAAGCACTTGGGGCCTTCCTCCACTGCCCTCCCGGGCCATAGCAGAGAGC